CTCTATTCCAAAATATAAGACACAACCACCTTTAACCCAAAAACCAAGAAATAATTAATATCTCATTGTTGTCATAAATCACCCCAATTAATACAATACATGCAACCAATAGAATTAAAGATCTTGTGAGTATAGGATTTAAAATAATAATAACTTAGGAGAGAGAATGTGCTAGTTAATTGCACGTCCTGTATTATAAAACCACTTTAAAAAGTAGTTGTGCCCTATATTTTGGAATGGAGGGAATATATTTTTTAGTTCTTGTTTTGCATAATCAAAATCTGTCAAACTGAAAATGGAGAATGTTCGTTGTTGTTGCTGGCTTGCTGCCTAGAGCCATACTTGTTGGTTGCTTGCTAAGTTACTATTCGCTGGTTGAATGAAAATGTGAAATTGGATGAGCCGGCTGGTGGTCTAGTGCTCGGAGGAGACGAGACGTCGAGACTCGAGACGAATTGAATAAGCCACATATACGAAAATGAAAGAGAATACAAAACGCCGTGGGGCCTTAGGGCTCGGAGTTGAGAATACGAAGTGCCACGCACACGAAGTCGCTGCGCGGAGATACGCGCGGACTCGAACGGGGTTCTGGCGCTCTAGCCTCACACGAATACATGGGTCTTCTTCGGTTGGGCTGATTTTTTGAGATCCTGAAAATATAGAGGTCCTGTACGGTCGCACAGGCCGCACGCCCTTGTGCACGGCCCTACTTATTTGTGTAAAGAGCAAATGCGCTGGAATACCATGTATGCATGTAACCAATCAAGATTAGTTTCTTTCGATTCAACTCATGCAACATTTAATGTGTGTGAATAATTTTTTTTGTTGACACGAACGAAACACTTTGATCGATGGACATTAATTTCAAAATAATGGATGTTTTGGTATTGATCAAAAAAGGACGGAGGGACCATTATGTTTTGGTGTCATGGTCAGTTTTAGATCTTTATTTTTACATTTGGTTTTCGATATGGTTTTTGGGGCCGGTTTTAAAACACACAATAATGTCACTTGTCTATTGAAGTGTATAGTTCACCCAGGAACTCAAGCAAGTACTGTGTGTGCTTCTGCTGCAGCATTTGCCGCATGTGCAATGGATTGGAGTTGGCATAGAACAGAATCCGCCTAGTTTGGCGTCAGCAGCAGCTGTGTGCATGCTCTGTTGCAGCTGAATTCAAGGCGTGTCACTGTCCAAGCTGAGCCCGCGAATGAAGAGTCAGGGCCGGGAATCGCTGCCCGCAGTGCAATCAAAGACCTGCTCCTTAAACTATTCTCCCCTCTCCCTGCACAGTGGCACCAAACCTAGCTATAGACAGTAGCTAGACAGCCAGTGCCCTGCCCTCTCTTGCTCTTTCTCCTCTCTCCTCCCGTTAATATACACGAGAAGTAATTGGACCGTTTTGATACAGCTCCCTCCTAATTTAGGGGTGACGGAAATACTGCTCCGTTTTTACGACATAATTACTTTTTTTAAGAGAAGAATCGTAGCAATGACAACGACCAACACCAGACAGTGTGATGATTGAATAAAGCAAGAGGAAAAGAAAAAGGCTAACACCCTCGAAGGCGGTAGCCAGAACAAAGGTAAAAACACACACCGCCATATACCACGCACCAATATCGCCTATACATAACCTAAGAAAATATTAGCACCGAACCGATCACCGCTAACCAACAAATAAACAAACACCAAAGCAGAGCGATAATTTTACTCTATGTTATTCAAAACTTAAAAGTATTTGTTACAAATTTTACTTCACAGGAGAAGAATCTAGTAGGGGTTGTACCAAACGTATCCTTAAACTGATTTAGGTACTCCCAAAATTTAAAAAAACTCTTTAAAACATTATATATATTCTTTTGTTGTGACAAGTTATAGTGGTAGTATAATTAAAAAAAAGTTAAAAGTAATTTATCTTCTGCAGATATTTACTGATATAAGTATAGTTGTGAGCTTTTGTGTCTAATGTAAAGCTACTCCAACATCTCTTGATTTTTATGAAGGAGGAACGAATTAGTTAAAGTGATTGAGCCGTATCTTCTCCATTCAAGTTTACAATAAACATGGCGTACAACACCGTACGAAGGCGACCCGACGAGGAGCCACGTGTGTGTAGATGTACTAGGCGCCGACACACGGACTCGCTCGCAATTAACGCATTTGACAGTTTCTGCGAAGGAATTCAAGTGCCCTTCCGAAGAAGTAATGAGCGTCTCGCCGTTTTAGTACGTAGTACTACTACACGTACGGGAAGAAGATATGGAGATCGACGAGGACGAAGTACTACACGGCTACTCCAGCCTACAGCCTACACACCGTGTGTCACGGCACGATGCAGGCATTGGCATTAGTGTGTTAATTGCTGGTGGAATTAGTGAATTACCTCGTCTTCTAATGGGAGTGTTTCGAAAATTTGAAAGTTTGAAATGGTGATTAGTACGTACACGTGAAGTACGGCCTAGCTCCCCAGTATTTGCCGGCTTTGGACGTACTCGTGTAAATTCCATGTACCGGAAAGTTGAACCACTTTTCATTCTCTTTTAAAAGTGAGGATAAACATGCGTGCACGTGGCGCAAAAATCAGGGCGCATTTGAGGGGCTGTTTTTTTCTTTTCACGCAAACTGAATATTCTTCTCGACGGTGTTTCGTGAGAATTCCATGTAGAGAGATAAAACTGTGAGAAACGATATCATCCATTAAAAAAAGTTCTCGGTTGTCTAGAAATTTCCTATAGTTGTTACTCCTAATTTAGCTATTCAGTAACGCCATTAACATGATATTGACAGAAATTATTATTTTTATATAAGTCAGAATATGAAACAGTTGAAAACTGTATGAAACCTGTATCCAGTTGTTACCGGTTTCTTCGCTAATCCATGACCCATCATCTATTGCTTACTTGCTCGTTCGGTCTTTGGGACTTTCAGCAATTCCGCACCACCCGTGGCATTGATCGCGCTAGCAGCTAAACTCGTCGGCTCTAAGGTGTGTTTTAGATCTCACTAAAATTAAAATTTTAATTAAAATTTAAACAATGTGTTGAAAAGTTAAAAGTTTGTGTGTGCAGGAAAGTTTTGATGCGATGAAAAAATTAGACGTTTAAAGAAAAAGGTAAGAACTAACCCAGGCCGTGCTTTTAGCTTAGAAATTTACTGAAATCAGGCGCGCGGTGACACATCGGTGGAGCCTGCGCGACGGACAGAGAGCCCATTTTTCCCGGTGCAACCGGCGCGGCGAAGAAAAATCCGCAGGAGAAAATGGTGGCAGAAACCGGAGAAAGGGTGACGGGGGTTGATATTAGGGCTGTCTTTAGATCAAAGTTTGAATTTAAACTTCAGTCATTTTCTATCATATTAACCTATCATACACATATAATTTTTCAATCGTATCCTCTTTAATTTTAATTAAAATCTAAATTTTGCTCTGAAATAAACACATCCTAGGGTACGAATGTAGGGTAGCCATTGTCAGCAGTGCAGCAGCAGTAAGCTAGGAGTAGTATAGCACCAGGCATCGTATCAAGGAATTGAAATCGGGTTGCTGACGGGAGAGGTTCAATTATGTTCATTCAGAACACTGCTCCTCTTTACTGTATTTACTGCCGCCTGGCTTGTTTTTACCTGTTCGGAACCGTAGTGCAATATCAAGATCCTCTCAACTTCCATCGAAAGTGAGTATGAAACGCAAACCATGCAAAAATTCTATTACAATTTCTGAAATATAATTGCCAAAGTACTGATACAGATTTTTTTTTATTCCAGTTGACCTTTTAGAGGTGCACGGTTTGGACGAGTTTCAATCCACATGAGTAGTCCAAAGAATACGAAGGAATAAAAATAAATACCCATAGTTCATAAGAACTTTTTAAGAAGAAAATGTCCTACACCTTATCTCTATAGTTACTTTAGGAAAGAGAAATTTCCTTTGATTTCCTATATTTTGTTCCTATACAGATAAATTGATATTTAAGAAAAATATTTTTAGGAATAAAAAATCATTGGTTTTCCTCTAGAACCGAGCAAGTCCCTACAATATAATTGAATCATAAGTATAATTACATTTTGAAAGTTATGTTTTAAAAAGATATTTGGTGTTATAGATTAGGTATATATTTGATATCGCCATCCTCCAAAAATGTTGGCTACGTTCTAGAATAGTGAATCTGGACATAATGGGTGATTAATCCTAGAATAATGTATCTAGACAGAATCTATGTCCAGATTTATTGTTATAGGATTCTAGGCAACATTATGAGTATGATGAAGTAATTGGGTTCGTGACTATCAGAAATACCGCGTACCATTTTAATGGAAAGTTATATTTAAATATGGAAATATAGCATATAAGAATAGAAAAACAGAGTTACATATTTGTATAAATACTAGTCCCCAAAATAGATGGATCGAATCATAAGCCACAACCACGAGAGCTACGCTAAAGACCAATAAGGAGGAATTCAATAGTTAGCTATCCACTCCAAATCGTTATATTAGTTATTGGTGTACACTAGTCGGCAGGCTAGATTAGCTAGCTTGCACCCCCTCTGTAATCTAATTCGTGTAAAAATACTTATCCTTGTTTTCTCTACCGTAATCTTAAGTATCCCTTGTTATGACCGTTTATTTTGTTGTAATCTCACGTATAGCTTGCTGTGAAACGGTCCCCGTACTAAGAAAATACTGTTGTTGGTATCGCCCGTCGATAAAAATAGTTTGTAAGTTTTTTAATAGTCAATTCCAAAATTAATTAATGCAGTTCATGTACCCCTTTTTAATAGAAATCAGTTTATATCTGGCGTAGGATAAGAATTTTCCTAAACTAATTTTACTCATTCGACGGTACTAGTACTCGTACGATCCATCCCGAGAAACCCTCCCATGTCCCCACGGCCCACCCAAAAGCCCCGCACGCCGCAACAGCAACACCCGTCTTCCCCGAGAGGAGGAGAATCTCACCCAACCCAACCCAACCCAACCCACTCCGTTTCTCTCTCTTACCTAAGCCGCGTCCTCCTATCTCCTACCCCCTCTCGCTAAATACCAGCGAAGCAGTCGCCCGCGCAAACGCGCGCCGTTTCCCGCTTCCACTCCCCTCCCCCCATTATTCCCGCGATTCTCCTCCCTTCCTCCCGCCGCGCGCGCCTTGGCCATGGGGAAGTACATGCGGAAGGGGAAGGTGTCGGGGGAGGTGGCGGTGATGGAGGTGGGCGGGGCGCTGCTCGGCGTCCGCACCCGCTCCCGCACGCTCGCGCTGCAGCGGACGACCTCGTCGCAGAAGCCGCCGGAGAAGGGGGAGGGGGACCCCGGTGCGGGCGCGGGCGCGGGGGCGGAGTACCTCGAGCTCAGGAGCCGGAGGCTCGAGAAGCCGCCTCCGCACACGCCGCCGGCCAAGGAGAAGGAGACCGCCAGGAGGGCTTCCGCCGCCGCCGCCGCCGCCGTGAGGATGCCGGCGGCGCCGCAAGCGGCCGAGGAGTTCGAGGCGGAGGTCGAGGTGTCCTTCGGCGACAACGTTCTTGACCTCGACGGCGACGCCATGGAGAGGTAAGAGATTTGTTTCTCCCCCCACATCTCTTCTGTTTCCTTTCCTCCTTTTTCTCGGATTCGTTTCTTGTGCTGCGTGGCCGCGTGGGTTTTGGGGTTTAGGGTTTATCTATAACCCTGAACTTCCAACCTAAAATACTTCCTTTGTAATCCGCGCTGCTTGGTTTTGATTCTTTCTACTGCACTTGCGCCGCCGTCTCATGTCTTTAGGCCTGAGTGATGCGTGCACGATTGTTTTCCCCCCTTTTGCTTCAGTTCTTGTTGCGAAATATATGAGCCCTAAATACTTTGATGTCTCTATGTAGTGAGGTATTGGTGAAATTACTTCGAAGATTTACTTAATCCTCTACTTGACTTCAACTCATATTGCAATGGTTGGAGAGGCTAGACTTCGTTGGACCAAGCAATGGACTCCAAGAATCAGTTTGTTCTAGAAAACTACTGTGCATTTCAAGCCCCAATTAAAATGGTGTTGCTTGCGCCTAATGATGACTCGCTTATTAGTGGAGTCTCCTCTTCCTCTTCTCCGGTGGCCGTGGCCTCGTCTTTTTCCATAGTGGAAGGGGAAAGTTGCCTCCTTTCCCCTTTCTCCTATAGCCGCACTTTGTTTTTTGCACTGGTCTCTCTAGTTGGGGCTTGTGGCTTGGTTGGTGGTGGTGGTGGTGGTGGGGCTAGCAGGCAGGGACCTCATCTCCCAATCGTTTAGATATCGAGAGCCTCATCTTCTTCCCTTTTGCAAGAAATTTCAATCGCCCCATCATCCTCAAAGGCACCACAGCTGTCGCACTCAAGATCCCATTTCTAGCTTGGTTGCTTGCTCACTTGCTAGTTGGTACTCTACTACGAGCCATGTGTCTCCCAGAAGGCAAGTAAATGGCCATGGCATTAGCAAAGCTGCTGCCCATCATTAGCCATTTACCAGAGGAGTGTCATCAACATTGAATGCTTCCAGTCTTCTTGGCTGTATGGGAGCATTGGTCCTTGAATGGACCACCCACCTCTCTTCAAATGTTGAGGTGAAATGGAGTTCCCTCAACCGAAAATTTTTATCTTTAACTCAGCCTTTGCAATTAACCCTTGATTCTTCTTTTAAAAGAAGAAGAAAAAGGAACACAGCTTTACTAGTAGTTGCTGGTTAATCCGGCACTCAAGCTTAAATGCTTCTTTTGACAAATTTTCAGTGTCACCGTGCAATCTTAACTATTTTTAGTCGTATATTCTTGTTTATGTGGTCCTTTTCGCCGGCATATACATGTTGAAAAACGCTATTTACTTCACTTGGCTCTGTTAGGCCCAGTGGTTGTTTGTCCGTACTTAGTGTGCTACACCAACAATCAAGTACCACCTCATTGTGGGGGCATTTGCTAGGAAGAGACAAGAGCTTGATAAACGAGAAATGAACCGTTTGTGCTCGATCGATTGTCATCTGTTGTCATCTCATTTCACCAACACAGCTTGCATTTTTGAAGAGACACGTTTCAAGATCTGAAGCACTTGGTATAGGGATGCTGGCTGGAATCTACTGTCGTCCAAAGCTGAATGTTGATTAGTCTGTCTACAGTTCTGTTCCTCTGATAGTGGGTACCCTGGCATTTGAAAATGTTTGTCTTCAGTGCAGCAGGTTTATGTGGCCAAGTTAGCGTTAGCTCAATTTCCTTAATTTTGTCGGCTCTGCCTCTGCTTTGGTTTTTAAACCTATAACAAGAATGGAAAATGTACTTGTTAGATTCTTGTGTATTTCTGCCTCTGAACTCAATCTTTTTCGAGCTATTTGTTCATATTCTGCTATTGCTTGCAGGAGTACCAGGGAGACAACGCCTTGCAGTTTAATTAGGAGCTCAGAAATGATAAGCACCCCTGGCTCCACAACTAAAACCAACACCTCGATCAGTTCCCGGCGCAGAATGGAGACCTCTGTTTGTCGTTACGTTCCGAGTTCTCTTGAGATGGAAGAGTTCTTTGCAGCTGCTGAACAACAGCAACATCAGGCTTTCAGAGAGAGGTAAGGACTTTGTTCTCATTTTTTTTTCACTTGCACAATTTGCTAATTTGATTTTTTTGTTCTTGATAGTACAGTTATTGGTGATTATTGTTATAATGAAATACATTTGCTAACGTTGAATATTCTCTGTTCTAATCAGGTATAACTTCTGTCCTGTGAACGACTGCCCACTTCCTGGACGGTACGAATGGACAAGGCTAGACTGCTAGATTTTCATCTTGAGAGCTCCATTGATCTCTCCACACAGTTGACTAGCACCACCATGGCAGAGGCAAAATGCAATTCGATTAGGTTTCTTCTCTGTTGTAAAAAAAAAATAGAGTTAGTCAGTAGCTCAATGATCTTGTGTAACAAACATAAGTGATGTTGAGTTACACATCCTGATCCCCCCACCAACATGTAACCGTTAACTGCTCATTCTGTAACGAACCACCTCTTTTAGGCCTAGCTTTATTATCTGTCCCCAGTCGATTTAATGAATTTAGTTAGAATTTCTCTAGCAGCTGCCTTCTGTTTACCCACTGAAGATAAGTATTTGCAGTGATTCCGGAGGTGCTGTGGATTTGTCTACGGGAAATATGTGTTATATTCTTAAAAGCTGTTTAGTGCCTGACCTTATGAAATTCTCTATAGCTTTGAAGGGCTGGCGAATTTAACACAGGAAACTGCTTATGCCCTTTCACGAGGTTGCATCTTGATTCGTGCTCTACTAATGTGTGATGATGGGTGTAATACATTGTTGCTACTTGCTACTGTGCATTGTATGTTCCTTTCTACTGTGCCGACTGTATAATGGTCTCTCGGTGAGCAACCAATGTCTGACTCTGATGAGATGAACCATTCTATCTTTACTTTTTTACTCGCAGGTAAACTGGTAAAGTTCATCTTTTTAGTCAAATACGGAGTATGTCAGTGCAATTGCAACAACGCAACCTGCTTCTTTTACCTGTTTTTAGGGTCCTTCCCTCACGGCTAATGTCCTTTTCTCTAACCTTTTCCTGCTTTCCTCTTGTTTTAACCAAAGTTCAGGAAGCATTGCAGCTGGTTGTGACTTGTGAGCAATTTGTTCTGTCTGATTTGAAACTTTCAGTGAGATGGTTTTGCAAAACTTCTCTTTGATGGAGTTGCAAAACGGTGTCCATGGCGTCAAAAGCTGCCCAAGTTTCCATGTACATCGATAATGATAAGAAAAGTATCCAAGGTGCAGGCACATGTTCTTCCTTTTGTTTATTCTGGTATGTGTATACCTGAAGGTGGCAAACTGGCAAATCACAGGTCATGGGATCATCTGGTGTCTATTCTCTTCTACTACTCTCTTTCTTCAGCGATAAAAGTTACTACTCAATACTGAAATGAGGTTCCAAAATCTGGAACTGAATACAAACTTTTTATCTTTTGTAAATTTTTACAAGATCTTTAACTCATGTAAGTAATAGTTCGTGGTACTAGTAATAAGTCTATGCTTTACCAAAGCACACGGCTTTCCATGGTTTAATATGTGTTTGTGTACCCGCCGTCAGAAAATGTGAACTGCAGCACTTGGAGAAACGGTTACTGAAAGATGCAACCCTGCCTAATTGTATGTGAAACAGTTACTGAAAGATTTAAGCCAATTTATTTTCTTTTTACTATTACTACTATAGTTGTTCCATGATGCATGCTGGTACCACGAGAACAAACAATTCAGCCAAGCCATTTGGATTTTGTGTGCATCAGGAGGCATCAAAATCCTGTTTTTATCGTCATCCGAAACAGTCCTTGAAGATATTGATCTGCTGTGCCAATCCAATGCATGGGAGTATGTAAGCAGATGATGAGACAGTTCACAGCTGGAGCTGCTCCCCCTTTGGATGCCAAATGAGTTGCAGTGGGGCTAATCCATTTAATAATGTGTTGACAAGCAGTAGCAGCATCAGCAGCAGTGGAGCTGATGCTCTTCCTCCATGGTCTTTGCACAGCATTCAGGCATTGTTAAAAGGGGCTCACTGATGGAGTACTGAAGGCATCGTTAATTCGGAGTACTGATCACTGCAGCTTTGTTAAATGCTGATAATAAGATTCTATACTTTAGCTTTTGTTACCTTTCAAAAGATTTGCAGTGCTCCTGCAATGTTAACGCTTTGCTACAATAGATTGAGCGGAACATTGGTGATTTCTTGTTACTACTTACTACTACCCTGCCTTTCTCAGAAGAAGCCTCAGCTTCAGCTTAAAAACGCAGCCTCAGCTTCAAGAACAGCAGAAGGCAATAGGATGCAAATGTTTTGTATCTGCGGATTCTGCGCTCAAGCCGCTCATGTTTGCAGCATGGTCTTTCCACATGCATGGCTGAAAGTTTCCAATATCGCCCAAAGTGGAGTACTATCTTATTGCTTGACCTAATAGGTTGCTCTCGTATCTAATTCCTCCATTTCAAAATATAAAAATTTCTGTGTGTTTCTCAAAACGTATTTGGACCGAGAGATGTCCATATACATTTTAAAATGACATCTAATCCTTATATTTCCATTTCCTCTGCTCAAGATACACACAATTATTTATTGTCTTTGTCTAGTGGAGTACTCGATTCAAGTGGAAGATACCTTTTGCATTTTGAGTTACGGAGTATCATTGTTTGTGCATATATTTTCCCGTGCAGTATGCTGTATAGTACTACTAGTACTATGTTCAGACTTCAGACAATGGTCTCAACTCTCAAACAACAGCCTTTTTGCCCTTTTTATATATTAAAAAAACTGCAGCAACTGTTATACTGGCATAAAGGTTGCTGATACCTTCTGTACATCTGAGGTACCAGTACTTGCTAAATTTAATTTTCTCAAAAAAGTGTACCAAGTTTTGAAAGTCATACTGTAAACAAATTTGAAGTACGGAGCTCATGGATCCTGGTATAGCAGACTGATCATTATTTAGAACTCATGCAAAGGTCCCCATAACATTTGCTCCCAGGGCCTAGAGGTTGATTCATTTGACTCGTATTCAGATTTCAGATACGTTAGCAGTATTCAGTATTCACTACCCTACATTGCAGCCGCCACATCAATTAAATATGATATACTCCTAGTAATTTTTATCAGTATAACCAAGCTAATTATCAGCAATCGGAATATCAGATAAGAGATTAGCCGTCGAGAATCAGATCAAACAGCAATATATTCAACAGTCATTGTAAACACTTGCCTAATCTTGTTTTCAGATGTCCACTGCTCGTCTTATTTATCAGAAAAGAGACAAAAACATGCAGGACTCATCGAGCAGTATTCTTGCAGGATACTATACATATAGAGTACAGTATCATTGTCAAAAAATGTTTTCTAAGGGATCTTTGCATTGGAGTAAAAAGGGAAAACAGATGGTTCAGTAGAAAACCTTAGGGCCATGCCTGTACGAGTTGCAAGATCCTACAGGGAGCTCTTCTGCACTCATGAGCAGATATCCTGACAGTTTTCAGATGAACAGTGAAGGGACAACACTTTCTTTTTACTGGTACTCCCTATTTTTCTCCATTGCAGAAATTGTTTACTGTATGTGCCAGGTGTATATACACACACCATGTCGTCACTGCACAGCATCTTGTTATTGTCGCTTCGCCTGCATTGCATTTCACTGAACATCAGTGCATTGCATGATAATATGATACTGCTCGGATAGGCACTGTAGCAGTGCCTTGTGGGCCTATATACCACTACTATCGAATTCTTTTTTAAGAAAAAGAAAAAAATAGTTATTTGGTTGGTCGTCGAAGTTTACCATGTTAAATTTTAGACGTGTCATAATTTCTTAGATTAGTGTTTTGATTGTCGGCCGGCAATTTACCGACGTTTGCCCGGAGTAGGAGTATTTAAAAGCGAGTCATCAAATACTCCACAGTTCTGCCCTGCTCAGCTCAACTGTGAGATGTGATGAATGCCTGTGGCAGCTGGAGTTATGGGGAAAGAAAGAAAAGGACCACATGATGGAAAATGAGGCGAGTATACAAATACTGGCAACTCCGTGAAGCATCAGCTGGCGTACTATCACTTGGATTCAGCTCCTGGCAGGCGCAGGAGATGGCCATACTGTATTTTTCAGCATCGCCATACTGTATTTCTTCATAACTCATAAGTACTCACTCCGTTTTATATTATAAGTCGTTTTGAATTTTCTTTTTAAAGTAAAACTTCTTTAAAATTTGATCAAATTTATAAAAAAACCATAGCAACACTTACAACACTAAATTAGTTTCATTACATCTGACATATAACATATTTTGATAGTTTCTTTGTTTTGTGTTGAAACTATTGCTATATTAAGTTCAATTTAAAAAAAAGTCAAAACAACTTATAATATGAAATAGAGATAGTAGTACCCGGTAGATTCGCGCCAAATTAAGCCCGGTGGTTTTTTTGAAAGGGGGAAGAGGCCATGGAGACATGGAGTGGCAGGATGACAGGAGAGCCAGCGCCTGACCGCAAGTACTCCCGCGCCATTGATGGGTTGTGCATTTGATGCACCTGCACTGCCCTGATTGTCCTCGTGTGGCTGATCAATCATCACCTTGGTTGCTCGGGTCGAGCAGGAGTATTTTCGTTTCAGATTGATCGGTGAGGGTTTCAAATCTCCCTCCTTTTCTTTCTTTGTTTATCCTGCCCAGTTCAGGAGTGGCGCCATGGTTTTGGGATTTGTTGTCAACTGTGAGGGGGATCATAACGATAGTAATATCCTCTGCTACCATTGCCTGTATGGTGAAGTGTCGGAAACAGTAATTTGAAAACGAGTGAGCTAGCATATCTTTTCTTTTTACTTTTTCTTAACGAACTAATGTTAGGTGTGCTAATTCCATTAAATAAAGTATGACTAAATTTTTTTTACAGGTATAAACCGTTTTTTTTAAGAAAAAAAAACACTAAGGGGTAAGCTCCAAGAGACGTTTTGCTCCTGCTAAAGCCAAGTTCTTGGCTTACTCCTTGATTTTTGCCACTGGCGCCACTGTGGACAACTCTTTATGCTGGAAAACTATTTGGTTCTTTTCCTTCCACACCTCCCAACTCCCAAGCCACGAGCAAAATGAGCGAGCGAACTACTTTCTTTGGTACACCTTCGGCGGTTGCTAGCACTATCCGCAAGGCATGTACCGGCGTAGATGCATGCCATCTCTTCGGTCTAAGTTCTCATGAGCTACACAAGTTGATAGCGCGTTCTATATCCTTCTCGTGTATCTACATTCCACGATGAGGTAGTAAGCTGTTTTCCATGATGTGCCGGTACATGAGACAATAAGAGTTGTTTCGAATATGCAAGAGGCTTGCATGTCTTTATACTCAATCCGTCAGAAAATATAAGCACCTGAGTTTTTCTTTATGTGGATTAAGGGAAGGGGTAAAGTTAAATGTGGAATGATTATAATTGGTTGCGATGAGTAGAAATACATAGAGAAGTTAGTATATTCTTGTACAAATTTTGAACATTAGAATTAAATATATTTTGGGTCAGATGAATTTTAAGACAAAGAAAGTAGTGGTAGCGTACTGATGTCGTTTAAGAAAAGTTAGAATGCAATGAAAGATACTCCTAAGTAGCTGTTTTAGCAAGCGAAAAATACACCCTCTTTTTTTTTTGTCACAGGCCATGGTACTAGCAGATGGATCGGCCCAGCTGTGTGGTGCCATCATAGCCAGGCTTTGTGGCCAGCCCACAAATTCTTGGGCCTCGCACGTGGTGGACATGAGGCCCAAACAATGGCCTTGCCAGTCTGGCCGCAGCCGCGTTGGCACGCGGCCCAACAACGCAGTCAAAGTGGAAAAAAGGTAAACGCTGGCCACGTGGTCCTCGGTGGCGGCTCCGAGAAGCCCGACCGGTGGGCCCGGTCTCCCACGACTTCGTTTTATGACACGTGGGCCCGCAGAAGGAGAACAACCTGTCGGTTCCGGTACGGTGGGCCCGGTCTAAGCTGTTTGCTAATCCACTTTTAACGATAAATTAATCCAGGCGTGATCTCCCGGCGCCCGCACGCGAAAAGCGCCACACCTAGCCTTTCACATATTTCGCAATACGTCCCTTGAAATTTTTCACAAATCAAACGGAACCACATCTCCATCCTTTGCCTTTTTGGCTTATTATCAACGACAACGAAAATTTAAATTTTAGAAATATTATAGTAGGTTACGAGATTTGTTTTCATCGCATTTCATTTCACAACATTACCTTTTAAATCGATAAGAACATAAATTTAAAAGTTTACTCATATTTTTTTTTGTTTGTTTTATTCTTTCTGCATGGATTATTAGCTGTTGGGCAAACAATGTAAATTGTTCAGCTTAAAGAAACTGCTCCTGGAAATATCCAAATCAATTTCACAAAAAAAAAAAATAAAACTGTTTATTTTAGGTGAGTGTAGCTGCAAGCATATGCAACACTCGGAAATTCAGTAACAAATGCACTAGTTTATTATTCCTCAAAACTGCGAGGAGCTTTGTGAAAAAAATTATTCCCTTCGACCCAACCTGTTCTTACGTTCGCCTTCAACTCCGCGATCTCCAGTGGCCAATTAGGCTTGCGTCTCTTCCTCAGATTTGGCTGCAGAATTTGAAGCGGTCTTCCACCTCTCAATCCCATCGCCTCCCTCCCCTCCCCTTCCGCCGCTTCATCTGAATCCCCAAGGATCTCGTCCACGCTTCTGGCCCGCGCCTCTTCCCAGTTTTGGTTGCTCGAATTTCAGCCGAGCTGGTGTTCCGAGCGATCGATTGGAGAGCAAAATTGGATTTTGATTTGCGAGCTGAGCTGTTTGAGGTGAGTTTGCTGATTCGAAATCGGGTTTCCCTTCCTGTACCGAAGGTGAACGAGTTCTTTATACTGTTGTATTTTAGTTTTCTCTCTCGGAGCAATCGCCAGCCGATTTTTTCTTTCATAAATTTCGTTTTTTATTCTGTCGAGTGCATTAAAACGAAGTTGAATTGGTAGAATTAACATTTGTCTATGAATCTTGCAATTATTCCTTGTTTATAATTTAGGATCCGTGGTTTCCTGGATTCTGCATGTTTGGAGGCGATTTTGCTAGGTGTATGGAATTGGTTTTCCAGTGGCAAACTTGTGTCAATTATCATATTTTGAAGATTATTATTCAGTTTTCTCCATCGTTCTTTTTCTTGATGATATACAATTAACCGTTATAGCCATTAAATTGTGATAAGTTGATTGCATTAGGTAGAAACTGTACTTTGTGCAGGACAATTCTTCAAATTGAACCCCTTCTATGTAATATTGTGGTACGCCTAGCAGTCATAAAAGGCTCAGCTCTGAATACATGCTCATTGGCTCATTGCCTGTTATTTGCAACAGTAAAAGCGAGTGAAAATGATGGAGCAGGATGGAAGGTACTGAGGTTGGGGTGATTCAGTAAATTATTTCGTTGGCTGGCAATGCAGTGCTTCTGCCCTGGGGCGAAGATGAACAGGATCGAAAAGGCAGCCCGGTCATCGGAGATCAGCAAGCACTCATCTACGAATGGCGAGATCAAGCAGCACATCAACAATATTGATACTGAAGAAGCTGACTTTCCCCTCCAGGAGGGAGGTTCGCTTAAAAGTAAGGTTGGTTTCATTTCATGGCATAAATTCTCATGACACTTTTTTCGCAGTACATGATCATCACTTGTAATTTCCTGCTTTGGTGTACAACTGAACATTTCCTATATGCCATATATGATTGTGTCAATAACTGAAATCACCAGACAAGTCCATGCATGACCTGTTGTTTATACTCTTTACTGTAACAGTGTATGTGCGATGAATATATTTGTGTCCCATATTTATGCCCATAGAAGAATTACTCTTAATGAAATTGTCTTGGCACAAACAATCTGCATGCGTCTTCCCTTTCTCATTGTTTCACTACAAGTTATATAGGAGAGACCTTATGCTAGTTTACCATCCTGATCAGATTATTTACAAGAAGACATTTTTGCAGAACATAGTTGGAACATGTGCATTGTGTGTGTGTTTTCATGAAAAAGTACATAAATCATTGCATGAGTACCACATTAGCTTTTACCATTCATTTTCTTATGCGTGTCTGCATGTCTCAATTACATTGTAATCTTGATAGCTCTTAGAATATGATGCTCCAAATTAATTCTCTCATGGTATTTGTAAACACCGCAATTTTCAGGAGGCAAGAGCATTGCTAGGAAAGGTAGAAAACCAACATGGACACGCTGAAGAAGCACTACGAGTGTTCAGTGGAATAAATATGCCTGCATTAATTCCTAAGGTGAAAATGTCTATCATTAGAAAAGTGGACCTGCAAAAGGCCCAGTTACATTCCAGCTCTCCTTCATTGCCTTTTCATGCTGCTATTCTGCTACTGGAGATTATATATTTCAAAGCTACAGCACTTCGCAATCTTGGAAAAATCGAAGGTATATGCCTTTTTTTTTTCTCTTATCATGAAATATTTTGCTCATGTCTGTGATAGTATTGCAACCATAACTTCAACTCAATTTGGTATTTTTTAGAAGCTACAAAAGAGTGCAGTAGCATATTGGATGTTGTGGAATCTGCACTACCTGAGGGTTTGCCAGACATCTTTGGTGATGACTGCAACCTGAAACCAACACTATGCAGAGCTGTTGAATTGCTTCCAGAGCTATATAAATTAGGGGGTTTTCATTTTGAAGCTATCTCTTCATACAGGAGGGCTCTTTGGAGTAACTGGAATCTTGATGAAAAGACAATTGGTAGGATACAAAAGGAATTTGCGGTTCTTCTCCTATATAGTGGCTGTGAAACTTGCTCTCCGAATCTTCTATCTCAGTTGGATGGCTCATTTGTACCTCGGAACAATTTGGAAGAAGCCATTCTTCTTTTAATGCTTCTATTGAGGAAGTTCAATCTTAAGAGGCTCGAGAGGGACCCAACCGTGATGCATCATCTGACATTTGCATTGTCCATGTCAGGGCAGTTAAAACCACTAGCTATTCAGTTTGAAGAATTATTACCTGGAGTATTACACAACAGAGAGTGGTCGTACAATGTTGCTTTGTGCTACCTAGCAGAAGAAGATGATCTAATCGCCCTGAATCTGCTCAAAAGGATATTGGTGTCTGGAGAAGATTCCAATAATCTCAAAGAACTTCTCCTAGTTTCCAAAATTTGTTGCGAGAACAGTGTACAAGGTGAAGAAGGTACTTTGTATGCACGCAGAGCCCTAACTAATCTACATGGAGGTTGCGATCAAATAGAGGTTACTGCTGACCTTTTGCTTGGCATTTCCCTTTCCAATCAAGCTAGATTTGCTACGACCAACACAAAGAGAGCCTCTCAGCAGCGTGAAGCGTTGGAAGTGCTCAGTATTTCTGAAAAGAAGATGCATGGCATAGATTTTAGGGTACTATACAATCTCAGCCTTGAAAATGCCAAGCAGAGGAAATTGGATACAGCAGCTCGTTATGCAAAGAAACTTTTGAAATTAGAGGCTGGATCAGAACTCAAGACTTGGCTCCTTATGGCTCGAATAATGAGTGCCCAAAGACGGTTTGAAGACGCTGAGTCCATTGTAAATGCCGCGCTAGATCAGACTGGAAAATGGTTTCAAGGAGATTTATTGCAAATTAAAGCCAAAATGCAGGCTGCACAGGGTAAATTTAAGAAAGCAGTTGAAACATATACCCAGCTTCTTGCTGTCATCCAGCTAAGGACAAAAAGTTTCAATGCTGGGATTTCTGTGTTAAAGGTGGATACCCCTCCTCTAAATCTATCATGGATGGTTTTTAGCAGCATATTCTATATATTTTTTAATCTCCTGAACCCAACTTAATGACTCATGGCACCTAGGATGACATGAATCCCGTAAAAAATTTACAACATCCATTTTACATAGTAAACTTCAATATTGTTGTTGGGAATAAAATTATCGAAATAGAGGGATAAAGCTTTTATATTTGTTAATTACATGTAGTATGTGATTTCCTTTTGAAAAATGTAACACCTTTGGTACTCGTGTGCCACTCTTTGCAGGGCTCTAAGGATGATAGAAGTCTGGAAATAGAGACGTGGTATGATCTGGTCCTTCTGTATATAAGAATGTCACAGTGGAGGGATGCAGAACTTTCCATATCAAAAATAAAAGCTATCAGCCCATACTCTGCCTTGGCTTTTCATGCTACAGGTGCTTCGTGTTCTATTCATAGTTCATCATGATGTTCCCTTTTCTTAGAATCATATCACTGTATTAGTAGCAAATCTTTTTCAGCAGATCGTCAGAAGATAATGTTGTTTACTTTACCATGAACTCATTGTCTTAAGTATTTACGAAGTTGTTTGCCGTGCAGGAAAGCTACATGAAGCAAAAGGTTTTCTAAAGGAAGCTCTTCGAGCATACTCAACAGCATTGGACCTTGAACCTAGACATGTACCAAGTTTGATATCAACAGCTATTGTTCTTCGACGGCTTGGCGAGAGACCCTTGCCTGCTGTAAGGTGTTTCCTAACTGATGCATTGCAATTAGACAGAACAAATCATATTGCGTGGTTGAACCTTGGCTTACTATACGAAGATGAAGGGGGCAGTTCAGCACTTGAAGCTGCTGAATGTTTTCAGACTGCTGCTCTTCTTGAAGAAACTAACCCAGTAGAACCTTTTAGATGACACAGATTGTACTCAAATTGAATGTTTTAGGGAGATTGCTATAGTACAAAGTACTTTCACAACACAGTTTCTAAACATTTTTTCCCCTTCTGGTGCATTCTTTTTGTGCTTCACCATCCCAACATTTAGGAGAGGAGAGTGTGTAAAGTGCATTAATTACAAACACGTACACGTGTACAATTGTTACCCCATATTTTTGACATAATATTGAGATTATAGCATGACACAATTCCTGTTCAATCAATGGTTCGCAACTATTCTTCATATATGCATTTATAGATGCATAAGTAGTTCAGACTTCAGAAATTCAGAAGCCATTTGTCCCAAGCTCTAGTAGTCTAGTTTTTTTTCTCTTATGTATGTACTCAACTACATATTAGCATATGCTAATCTAAGGTCTGCTCTAGAAAAATGTTTGGTAATTACCAGTTGCAGCGTGTGTGGAGTCGAAGCACATGCCAGCGCCCATCACCCATCGAAGAGGTTGGAGAGGATGTCCCTTTTCCTGTAATGCACGTGTGAATCAGTACAAGAATCAAAGTGCTGACATCGAAAAGCAAAGCTGATCAGCAGAAGAATGAATAGCTTCTCTGCTCACGCGCCGGCGGCCATGGCGGGCGTCTGTCGCATGCCCTGATCCCCTCCCTACTCATGGCCTCATGGGGCCAACGAGCATGGATGGAGAAGCTGAAGGGAGATCTTGAGTTTCCAACTGAGGAAAGGTGGCAAGGGGCGGCGGTGGCTCCGGTGGGGAGGAGACGGTGATGGCTGCCCATCGACGCCATGGACACGCTCACGCGGCGGCGGAGGCGGCGGGCAAGAGAAAAAGGAAGGCGAGAAGCAGAGGGACCTTTTCCAAACTTTTCGGCTTTCAGTTCTTCAGAAATGGGCCGTGGGCTACTTTATCTTCAAAGTCCAAGCCTAGTCTGAAACGCTGTCTTTAGTAGGCCGAATTCACCGACAAATCCGACACAAGAAGCCCAACCAAGCCCGTCGTCTTCTTCGAGCTCCTCCCAAGTCTCAAGCGGAGTTGCTTCGAAAGTGGACAGTTTAAGGCGGAGTTCTTTTCTAATTTTCTAATAAAGATAATGATGTAACTAGAAAACACAAAATAAAAAATCATTAGCACACGATTAATTAGTTTTAATTATTATAATCTTAAAAATAGATTATTTGATATTTTAAAATAACTTCTATATAAAAATTTTCGCATAAAACATACATAAAAATTTTCGTATAAAACATACATTTAGTAGTTTGAAAAGCATGTTAATACAAATAGAGGTAAAATCTATCGATACACAAAATCTATTGAGAAGGTAGCATGTGGTATCCACCTATTCTATTGTAAATTTGGTAACCTAAGTACTATGAGGTACCAAATTTTACATAAATTTAGTACCTCATGGTATCTCTTCAAGAACCGTAAAATTGCTCAAATCCAAAAAGACACCATACGTTACTGCCAATACACAATCCAACACCCCAACACCTGGGCTACATCTGCTGTTTTTGTCTACCTGAGAGAGAGTACCTTGAACAATATTGATCTATTCGAACAAGGGAATGTTCATATTTCCCTGGTTGCAAAAGAAATACAAGCTGCAACTTCAGATAATGATCACGTGTACCATATTGTTTTCGCCCCAAAAAACAACTATCGAGTCTATGACTACTGACCCCTGTATTACCCTTCTATAAAGAAATACATCAATTCTGATGAAAACTCATCGAGATTGTCAGCCTATGCATCCAAAAGACCAAAACTACGAGGCTAGTTCATCAGAATCTTTTCCCCATGATGAAAACTCACTGGGACAACGAAAGCTTTAGCTTCCATCAGTACACTCCAATCTTTCCCCCCAAAAAGAGTACATCTGAATCTCAGCACTGGAAATCACCTCGGATACTTCTGTAAGTAAAGATCATGTGGAGCATATCCTGCAGAGACAATCCTGCTGCCAAAACGCCGTCCATGTAGTGAATGAGCTGCAATGCATGCAGCCTCTTTGCGCAAGAACTCTACAAGTATACAGCCAGCTTCGAGCGCACTGGTGTTTGAAGCCAAAGCGTTGTCTCTAGCATCAACTGCAGGTGCCTTCTCTGTGTTGCTTTCACTCACACCAGCACCACCTTGTTGCTCGTTCTCCCTACCAGATTTGTCCGCTCCATCTCCAGGTGCTGTGGAACAAGAAGTTTCCAAGGACGCCGGATCTGCATCTGCATGCCCTCTCTCTATAGTTCCACGAGCATCATCTTGAGCATCCGTAGAATCTGTCTGATCAGCTTCCACTCCTTGATCAGTATTCTCGTCTCCTGCTGTAGGTGCATCACACTCGCCACGTGTGTCAAGATTTTTGTGGTCCCGACCCTTGGGAATAGAATCTGTGTCAAGCTCTACGGGATCCTGGACCTCACAAATAGAAGGATCAGGAACATCTGTACTCTGATTCAACACAGAACATTCCACTCCAGTCTCAGTGCAGCTGACATTGCCACCATATTCTTTGGGCTCAATCTTGGTGGATCCATCTTCACACTCGGTTATGGTATCCCCTGTAGTGTTGTCACTGCTAGCAGGGTACTTTACGACATTTATGGATTTCACAGCTCCAAACCTGTCATCTTGCCCATAATGTAAGCTGAAAGCACCATAATAAGTCAATACAACAGGAATGCAACAGAATCACCTATACCTTGCACACTCCACACGTACATCTTCCAATATTTCCTCCAGCTCAGATTTTGAGAGTAGCAAATACTCTTCTTGGTCAAACTACATTATTTAATGTTTGTAAACAACTCACGAGTTTGTACGTAATAAATGTGAAAGACAGTTGTTAGTTCTGTTGACTGACTAATAAAAGTGGCATGCATCAAAGATACAATGGTGGGTTCCTATATCATTTGGAGCACACGTACAATAACAACAGTCCATAATGCATGGAGGAAACATGTTACGCTGCTAATGGTTTTGATACATAGAGAGATGCTTGAGGAAAAACTTATGAACAGAGTTGACACTACGACATACCACATTTTTTAGCTGCAGGACTTTTGTTGGTTCTTCAAGTAGTGATTTGGCACTGTCAGGAATTCCATAAAATGGGGAAGCTTCATTAAAAGCCTGAAATTTCAAAGGAAACAGAGTGGGACTTAATTCAATGAAATGGAAATGACAGAAAATGAATGAATCTAAAATGTTTGAACCTGCTCGGTAGAGTTAGGGAACACATTAACAGCAGTTAGGATGCCTCCACCAAGCTTCATCCCATTGAGGCCAGCACATGCCTTCGATGTAATGGAGTGATCAATGTACTGCACACATCAAATTGATAAGAAATCAGCTTAAGTAATATATTCATCTGGTCTAGTTTTTTTTTTATCTTCTCCATCAATGACATGTTTGAAAAAAAACGATTTAGTTTAGTACCAGAGCTTTCCATACCTCAAGAAATGCACATGCCCCACCAAGGTATTCATTAAAAAGAAAGCGGTAAGCAGCCAACGGACCAAATGAACTAACAATTTCCATGAGCTGAAAGAGGACAATGTAGAAGCTTCTGAGGGATAACCGGATAACAGCTAATAACCACAATACCACATGCAGAGCATGATCACTGGATTAAAACAAGTTATGCAAATATACTGGTGGATGCTTTTGTATTACCATCTCAGATGAAATCACTCCAGAAATCCCAGCGATGAAAATCTGCAAAAGTTAAAAAAGTTGAGACATCCGATGAAAGCTACTAAAGTTCCTAGATAATCAAACCTATATGTTTTATATTAACTTCAATTAACAGCGGATGTACGATATCCATGTATCAAATATTTGGCCAGAAAAGTAAGAATTTCTATCAATCAGAAAATGCAAATATTTTTTCACCGCCTCTGGAAATATAGTCATCCATATCATAGATATGAGAATGGACTGGCTCTGGCAAGTTACCTTGTGTGGTGAATCTGCAACAACATCGGATATCAATTTAATCTCTTCAGAAGGCTTCTTAGGAGCAACATGCTGCATGGAACAGAAAAATATAACACAACATTAGGAAGAAAGATTTTACAAACTATAATCTGTTCCAAAGTTGCAAAATCATGCTATAGAAAAAAAATGCAGCAAAAAAGTATGTATGTAGAGGACATCAGAGTAATGATCTGAGTGCAAACTATGTTGATAGCAAATATAATCAATTAACCATTCATCGCTAGTTAGACTTGGCTCTTAGCCCTCTGTTCTACTGAATGTAACACTACAGAAGGCATTATCACAATCTTAAACTCAGGGGTAGTGAGTTCTGTATTGGTGTCATTTGTTGATGCTACACGGTATTATAGACTTATACTGCCATAGCAAAATATTCTTGGTTACATCAAATAACGACCACCAAACAGCGTGCATTCTTGATTTTGTAGGCAGTTTTGTAAGTAGCAAATCAAATTGAGAGCAGAAAAAATACTTAAAAATCAAACATATAAATTGAGTAAGCAGTCTGAAAATTCACACAAAAATGGCATGTCACCGTATACAGCTGATTGAGAAAGATGGTTGAATAAAAAAGATGGATCATGCGATACTTTGTCAGTTTACAGAATGAAACTACAGACAGGATCTCTTCTGTGAAAGTGCTCTTTTTCTGTTAGTAATATAGTTAAAATGTCCAGTAAAATGAGCTATGCCTTTGTGGCTCAAGATAGCATATGATTTTTTCAACAAGACCAAATTAAGCTGAACTTATTATCTTTAACACAGAATTGTTGAAAATGTATGAAAACTATAGCTTTAAGAAAAGGGTACTGAAATCTCACTATAACACAATAGTTAATTAAACAAGTTTGGTCCCTTCTATTGTCATTAGCATTAGCATTAGCATTTAGTAAATATCAATGCACCTTAGTGCTACAGACAGTAAAGGGTGATTAAGGTGCTTTATGGTAGTAAGAAATCCAAACCACTTAAGTCGCAGAATGACATGCACTAAAAAAAAAAGCTTCAGAATGCGAATGTGCTTCAAGCAATATACTCATTACAATACTGAACATCAGAAGCAGACTAAGTGCATGTGCATTTTGAGTAATAAGAATTGAGAACAAGCCATCTAAAAACAAGAGGAGAGACAATAAATCATTTGTGATTCCTGAAACCACTTATATACGTGTCACACAAATCAAGCATATTGACACAAACCACACTAGATGTCATGTTAACTTACATCAAACAATGTTTGGCATCTTTAGTGGGTTCCAAAAAGGGTGGAGAAACAAGCAAAGGAAACCAATGTAAGGGTGAATGGTTGGCTTCTAAAATGACCGAATGGTTCCTATACTAATAAAATTGTGTGATCATAATTCTAGTAGAAAGATTTTTCGTTCCACATTCACATTGGTCTATTGTCCACTCATATTAGAATGGGAATATGGCTAACTTGACAGTTATCAACTATCACATTGTGCTTGTTGCCATGAAACAAGATTTATGGATATTCCGAACCAAGACAGGAAGGTTATCTTAGCAATCAGCATGCTCAAATCTTTACTAATAATACATTTACTTGAACCATGTTGTGCAAGCTGTCTTCCTAATTTTTCCATGAACTGAGCACCATAAGGACTCTGCCAGCAGTGTAATCAGCAACCAATAATTCTGGAAGAAGCAGCAGTCACATAATATTGACATTACACCTTGAATCCTGCTTAAAAAATCCTTTGCTTCACCATCCTGAACGTGAATTATGACATACCCAATTAAAATACCCTATTTAAAAGATTCCAACATGACCATCAGATGAGAACTTCTCGGGTGATATAAATATATGCCATGAACAAATCCAAAAAAAGAACAACTACTCTGGAATACTGTTTGCACCATGATAAATATTAAGAAACTACTCTAAAATATTTTTTTCTTAAAGAAATATATCAAAGCATTTACTACCACCCTATTCAAGCAGAAACAAACATAGCATTTGATACCAACCTAGTCAGCACTTCTCACTCTAAAACTTGGACAGAGTATTAGATTGTGAGTAAAATGTAAACGCCTTAAACATGGTGGTCCATTAATTATTTAGATATAAAATAATGCAGTCTATGGACACAACACTCCAAAATTGAATGCGCAGATGTACAGCAAGGAACAAATCAATATTTGCAGGCCCAGTAGTTTCTCTGCCACCATTTCACAATTGAAAGTAGACATTTGTAAGCTATAAGCAGCTTAATCAAGAGAGTCTGCTCCATGAAATCCTAGCATTGCCATTTATTACAAGGGTAGTACTGAAAACTTTAGCATCTGGCCATTAAAAAGAAGTGTCCAAGAATAAAATGGGAAAAAAATTAAAAACAAACATGCACAAATTCAAGAAAGGCCAAACAACCAACATGCACATATGGCTATATTATTGTCAATCATTTCTTCTAAGTAAAGCCACATCGAAAGGGAAACCTTTCATAGCTGCATAGAATTTCATTTATGCCGTAAGCATGTGAAATGTTCAGGAATCCTACAAACAAAGAAGAGAATAACAAGCTACAAGCCTTCATGTATTAATTATAAACTAGGGGCACATAGTTAACATTAAAAGACCATTTATTGGTACATTCAGCATCACTCGGCTATATATAAGAAGTAAAATGGCTGACGCTAGAGGATAACCAGATGTCCAGAAAGTAATTAACACTACTTCAAGATATTTGGAAGGTTGGTCATAACCTAAGACTAGCAGTCAGAAGGGAAGGTGGCTTGGAGGGAGAGTTGATATAAGCAAAGTTGAGTAAAACCTAATCAGTTACAGGCAGACTCAGATCAAAAGATGCAATTCCAATCTGACTAGGTCATGCAATATACCAATGACATACAGAAAGATTACACAAACCAAATAGGTGGAATGACAAGGGTAATCTTGTATTCTGGGAACGTGTGAGCATGTTATATGGCACGTCGCCAAATTTTATGTAATAGTACTATGCAAAATAGCTATATACTGATAAATCATAGTAACGCTAAGATGTTTGATCAGCCCACCAGACGTTATTTTAGAAGTAAAGCCAATCAGTAAGAACCTCTCCATAAATGTAATACAAGTATTGTACAGTTGCAATTATCTGAAATTACTGATGACTTCAATAAATATAATGGAAAAATAGAACAGCTGAGAGATTGTCGCAACAAGAATTTCTAGATTTTTTTTACTTGGAATCATCTAGATCAAAGCAATACGCAGGCAAATCTGAAAATCATCTGTTGGCAAGAGAAGGTGAGAAAGGATGGAATCTTACTGCCATTTCAACATATTCTTTGGGGCGTCTAATTTTCAAAGAAGATCCACCAAAAGACCGTCCGTCAAAAGAAAGAGCTGCTGTAGCATCCTCTGGTGTAAGAAATTCAACAAAGGCCTGACGTTTGTCCTTGTTTATCTGCATTGAAGGAGCATGGCATATCACTAGATGCTATTAAGAAACATTTGCAAAGCAGTACCGAAAGGTGAGATGGTAGTTTGCTCACCACACAACTGAGGCATGGTTGTTTGGACCTCTGGATATGGCTCGCACTAGATGACAGCAAGAACTCATTCAAGCAGCCAATCAGCATGTCTTCTGTGGCTAAACTTGGTAGATTTTCAATGTGCAATCTCCTGAGTGGTCGGGTTGCTTGTGTCAGCTGGACAGAATCAACAGCCAAATTACTCCCTGTCAATATAGTTCCAATTGTAGTGTTTGGGTCCTGCTTCGATGTGGTAAAATTGACTGGAACAGTGGAATCCTTTAGACCAACCGTTGACTGCAAAGTGGTAACAAAATTAGATAGATCTGTTGCCACAGGAAGCTGATCCCATGTGGCTGATTTCTTTTCTGGAGACCGAATAACCAGAGAAGCAGTCTTGATAGTTGTCTGTTCATCTTTTGGTGCTGTTTTCCTTTTCCTTGGTGAATATCCACCAAGCCGACTTTCATATCTCCGGTAAGATCCACTACTGTATCCATCATTCCAAGATGTTCTATGTCTGTCAGTTTCAAAATGCTTCCTTCTTGATTTGTCCATGGAGTGATATGGAGGATAATAATCATGGCCATGTCCACGATAGCTATGCCTTTGTTCTCTTGAGGATGGTGAGACAGACCTGTCATGTCTTTCTTGATAATGATCCCTGCTTGTCGACCTTCTCCTTTTTGACCTGGGCTCTTCATGGTGCAGTTTTGCATTCTCTTTCCTCCCGTCTTTTCTATCAAAATGTCTGGGATCTTGTAATCGCACAGCATCTTGTTTCTTCAGTGTGGGTCGATCAACCTGAGAACTCTTCTCATCATCAAAGCCACGGCTATTTCTCTTTCCATCAGTTCGCCTCTCACTCCTCTCCTTGATTCTATCATTACCAACTGGTTCATCAATCCATCTTTTCCCAGGTCTTTTTTGGGATTCCTGTATTGTTGCATCACCGTCTCTTGCTGTAATCTCACCATGGTTTCCACCTCTGCTTTTGCCAACTCGACCACTCGTGTATGTGCTAAGCTTATGAGAATTATGATTGCCTTTGTCTTTGTCAACTAAATGACTATCATCTCTTGTGGAGGACCGCTCTTTCTTGGAGCTCTTCTTTGGTGCATCTCTTTGATCATCTTTCGATGGGACCTTCACTTTAACTTTCAAGTTATCTATCTTGGAGATGTCTTTTGGCCTATCTTTCAGGTTGTCTTTCTTGGAGACCTCTCTTTGCATATCTCTCATGTTGTCCTTTCTACGCTCTTCCCTTGGCGTATGTCTCATTTCATCCTTCTTGGAACCCTCCCCTGGTTTATCACTATTATCCTTTTTGGAGCCCTCCAAGGGCATTTCTCTGACATCCTTTCTGCTTTTGGACCCTCTTCCTGATTCCAGATGATTGGATTTACCATTACTGTTCTCTTCGAGCCCTTCCTTGGTTTTCTTAGCTTCTGAAGCGGTTTTCTTTTCACGACGCGACATGATATCCTGAATGCTCAAAGGCCTTGTGCGAGCAGCCGTCCCATCACTAGTGATTCTCCTAGAATCCTTTTCGTTCTGTACTCTTCTACTCATCTTGCCCCGAAACCAGGAATTTGGACAAGATAATGAGGTCCTAAATTATTTGAGTTAGCATAACCAGAGGATCATGACAAGAGCAGTGCCTCTTCTTCCTGCAGAACTATACCAATATAAGTGTCAAAACGATTCAACATATTTTAAGCCATAAGGATACATCAGAGAACCAGCGGTAATTGTCAGTAATACACAAAAGACACACTGGTGCAAGTGTAATGCAACCTCATAATTAATAACGGCAAGAAAGGGCATGTGCATTTAGGTATGCATAAGTCTTAAAGAAGAGTCATACTCATCCACAACTATATTGAACGGCGCATCATACATTTTTAACAAACATGAAGACTTCGAGATGTCAAATTGTTTTGCACCAGAACTAACCCAACAAAGAACACAAGATGTCATCAAGAACAGCAAACCTCCAGTTTGACCACCTAAACCTTGTTAGATCAGACTGAGAACAGACAATGATCAGGTACAAGTTCCTCTTTTTGCAGATAGCGCTGGATGACGGTGCTGTAGCAGTAGCACTCAACAACAACACTACCAACTTTTTTGTGAAGTTAAGCAAATGCAGCGCATCCCTAATCATCTCAATATAAACAGCAAGTCATTCTAGTGCTAAGGCCCAGTTTGATTGCCATCAAAGAAACAGACAACCTTGGAACTGATTCCAGGAGAAACCCAAGCTACCCAACAACCTAAAAGCGGGCTGGTGTTAGGGTGTTGCCGTTCAATTTGGGATGAAATTTCCCACTAGCACGTACAGAAGTCGCAAATTCGATCTAACCTAGGTCATTTATCCTCATCCTTAACTCATTCTCTCACGCATTTCTCCTCTTCCTTAACCCATTCTCTCACGCGCAACTTTTGGGGGCGCCCACGCCGTCGCCTAACAACTCCTCGCCGGCGACCCCAGCTCTCAGGTCTCCCCGCCTCCTCAGCTGTCCCACCCGTCCAGCCTGCCCAACCTCCTCGCCTTCTGCCCCTCCGCCACTCCCGACGACCGCCACCTTCCCCCATCGCCGTGCAGCACCTAGGACTAGTTCTACGCAAGCAGCCCAAAAAGCTCACGCCCGTGACCCCCCAAACCATCGCATCAAAACCTCCGGAATGGAACACTAGAGCGGGAGAAAACCATCGATGGGCAGTAGCAAGCACCTGGGGAGAGCGGAGGCGGAAGCGGGTGGCAGCAGGACGCTGAAATCCCGGCGCGGTGGCGGCGGCGCGGGTGGTGGCCGCGGGGGATTGGCTCCGCCGCGCGATCCCTTCTCCTCTCTCCGCTCCGGGCTCCTCCGCCTCGTGGTGAGATGAGAACGAGACAGCCACCGAGAGTGAGGAGGAGGCCTGCGGGCTGCGGCGAGTTGGGTTGCGAACTATAGATGGGCCGGAATCTACGGCCGCGTCTGGCTTGGACTGAGAAGCTTTGTGCTGGGCTACAGGGCTTAGCTTGGGCCTCATGGTTTGGGGAATTTTTTTCATTTTTAATTTTAATTTTTAAATATTTACAGAAATATTATACCATCCAAAATATTTACACAAATAGCCCCTGCCGCTTAAGTGGAGGGCGGCAAGGTGTGCGCATTTTGCACTTAGGTCCCTTGCTGCCGGGGTTAATGTAATTTTTTAGAATGCATTTTTCTATTTTTTTTCAACTTGTCCGTCCCTCACGTCACCCTGCCGTCTACTTCTGTAAATATTTTCATCAGTATAATATTTCTGTAAATATTAAAAAATAAAAAATTAAAAATGAAAAAAAATCATGGTTTGGGTAGTAGCTGGGCCAGCTGAGACTTGCTGTGACGCTCGCTAATTGATGTGTTTAGCAACACTAGTAACATGTTTTTGCTTTGTAACGCGCAAAGCTTATATGACTGGGGATTGCTGGGGGGAGAAAATGGATATCAAGCTATCTTTAAAATCGGTTTCGCTGGAATGCTATCCATAAAATTCGATTAGATGAAATGCGAAGCTCGGGCAAGCGTTACTCACCGAATCACCATTTTATCTTTTTCACTGATTTTTGAATTGTTCTTTTCTCCTCCTCATGGTGATCTGATTCTGACGAAAATGTCCCTGCAGCCGGTTATTGATAGAGAGGTCGGTCTCGATTAGTTGAGCCATTTCTGTTCGCTGCTCACTGCCTTCGCGCCACAAAGTGCCACCGCAACGCGCTCCACCGTGGCCTGCAGCTCCGGTCCGGCACCTCGAGGCTGCAACCCCGCGCAACCTCGATGCAGGCCTGACACACCCGATTGGTGGTCATCCATCCCCCGCGCCACCTTGAAAATAGCATAATGTCCATTTTCTGCTATGGTTTGAGAATAAAGGCCCTATCCTTTTGCTTTTTCCTAATAAACCAAAACTGCTCATTAGAGAATAAAAATAAAATTGTAGTTAAAACTTTTATATATGTGTTTTTGGTGACTTAAAAGTCAATACTGAAAAAGAAACTACGTTGAAAATATCTCAAAATTAAGTTTGCAAATTTAAAATTTGGTATTTTATTTGGCTGATTAGGCCATCCGATGGAAGCCTAAGGGTGTGTTTAGTTCGCAAAAAGAAATTTTTTGGGTGTCACATTGAACGTTTGATCGAATGTCAGAAGGGGTTTTCGGACACAAATGAAAAAAAACTAATTTCATAACTCACTTGGAAACCGCAAGATGAATTTATTAAGCCTAATTAATCCGGCATTAGCATATGCGGGGTTACTGTAGCACTTATGGCTAATCATAGACTAATTAGGCTCAAAAGATCCGTGTCACGATTTACATGCAAACCGTACAATTAATTTTTCTTTTTATCTATATTTAATATTTTATACATGTGTTTAAAGATTTTATCAGACGTTTTTGGGAAAAAAAAAAACTAAACAAGGCCTAAAGCGTAACCTGCTGTGGTTGGTCGCACACTGTGACACGAATGAGCGAGACTTTTCTGCTCGTGACGTGGGAGGAGACAAAAGAGAACGACAGTGTTTATAAAAAAAGTAGTAGAGAAATTTTGAGTCGTACTGTCGTAGCAAGAAAAATACATGTCATGCATCAGGGTTTAATTCATTTTGCTCTGCATGTCCATTTGTAGTCAAATGATTAACGCTGTATACTGATATAGCTTCTCGCTGTGTCTCTCTATATATCAGCATTGCAGGAGATCGATGCTTTACTTGAGAGCAGCATAGCGTCGAGCCGGCGACGTACGGTCCCCTGAAAAAAGTAGGGACGAACTGCGGGCCTATGACTGTTCCGTGCATATGCATGAGCCACGGGCCACCGCCGATCTATCGGCCGACCGTCTCATCAAGGCAGTTATTCGCATCTGCAATGTTGTTTCCTCGGCGCATGCAGATCCAGTCATCCAAACATTAATCAATTATTTTTACAAAGTCCGTTCAAAAAATATTTTTACAAACACAATACAACGCTATTTGTTTTTTTTTTAAAAAAACAGTAAACATATGTGTTCATATACAATTGCACACACTCATTTATATACAAGCACATCCTCTCATTTAGAAGAATAATTAGGCCCTTTACAGTGCTCCTACGTGGGCGAGTTGCCAAGTGCGCCACCTTATATTTGCGTGTACGTGGCGATAGGACCCGCGCCTTCACTCAGCTGCTCGCTCCCTAACTGGGTTACGGGTTCCTTGCTCGCGCTAGAGGACGCAAGGCCCAGGAAACGAAAGGACAGCCAACCAATCAGCCTAGGATATGGAAGGTTACCATCACTGTGAGTTGCGTCGCCTCGAGGTGGGCCCATTTGATTGCGTCCGTGATTTTCAAGCCTGCACCGTGAGACCCATGCCTCAAGGGATCCTTGTGTCCATATGGCAGCTAGGGTAACTCATTTGAGTTGTTTGCACTGTGAAGAGCCTTAGTCATAGTTGTACCGTAGTATTATTTGTCTTTTAATGTTTTCGAGAAATCATATGTAGCTTGTGTATCTGTCAATCTGTGTATTGGAGCGGATATAGACATGCAACTTGGAGAAGCAGTCGCTGCAGACTGCAGTACACCATAAAAAGGATAGGCCCCATTTTTGGCAAACCAGATTTAAAATATTGAATCACAACAATACAACATCCAAAAGTAATGGTCCTCATCCCTGACAAATCGGATTAAAGGAATTGGTACAAACATAAAAAGGTCATATAATGTCCCTCCCACTCTTTTTTTAACCTTGGTCCATCCCAGTTAAATGCACTAAATATGGAAATTACTGAGCACAAACGCACACACGCGCACACAGATCTCAAAGCACGACGAACAACCGGGACACAAACCTCGTCACCTGGCTATAAATAGCCTTGTTGGTCACATCCAAACGCAGCTGCAGCAGCACTACCTGTCAGTACTCGGAGTAGCAAATTATCAATCTTTGCATGGACAAAGCTATGGCGTTCATCCCGCCGCGAGACCTCGTCGTCGTCCTCCCCTTCCTCGCGCTTCTCCTCCCCTTGTACATCTACCTGAGGTACTCGAGGAGTGCAAAGGCTAACCCGTCGCTTCCCACCGAGTGGCCGTTGGTCGGCATGCTCCCTTCCCTCGTTGCCAACATCCACAACCTGTTCGACTACGCCACCGCGCTCCTCGCCGCCTCCGGCAACAGCTTCGAGGCCCGCGGCCCGCCGATGTCCAGCCTCCGGTTCTTCGTGACGTGCGACCCGGACAACGTGCGCCACATCTTCATCAACAACTTCGCCAACTACCCCAAGGGCGAGGAGTTCGCCTCCTTCTTCGACGTCATGGGCGACAGCTTCTTCAACGCCGACGGCGAGTCGTGGCGCCGCCAGCGCGCCAGGGTGCAGCACGTCATGAGCAACCCGCGGCTGCTCGCGTCCATGGCCGCGTGCTGCCGCGGCAAGGTGGAGAAGGGCCTGCTGCCCATCCTGGACCGCATGGCGAGCGCCGGCGCGCCGTTCGACCTGCAGCGCCTGCTCACCAGGTTCGCGTTCGACGTGACGGCCATGGCGGTCTTTGGGGTGGACACGTGCCGCCTGTCCATCGACATGCCGCCGCTCGACGTCGCGAACGCCATGGACGCCGTCATGGAGGTCGGCTTCTTCCGGCACACCGTGCCGGTCTCTTGCTGGAAGCTGATGAGGAGTCTAAGAATCGGCCCGGAGAGGAAGCTCACAGCTGCACAGCGGTTGCTACGCCGGTTCGTCGCGGAGATGATCGAGAAAAGACGAGTAGCCGGCGGCGCCTGCAAGGCCACCGACGACGAGCAAGGAGGTGTACCGCCGCCGGCGGACATCGTGTCCTCCTACATCAACGACCCGGAGTACGTCGACGAGGACGGGAACCCCAGGGAGTTCATGTACGCGACCTTCATCAACTACATGGTCGCCGGGCGCGACACGGTCGGCACTGCGCTGTCGTGGCTCTTCTTCAACCTCACCGAGCACCCGCGCGTCGTGGCGAGAATCAGGGAGGAGCTGGAGCCGATCGCGTCGAGCAAAGCCGGCGGCGGCGGCATGGTGGTGTTCGACCCCGAGGAGACGAAGCCCCTGGTGTACCTGCAGGCGGCGCTGTTCGAGTCGATGCGGCTGTACCCGCCGGGGCCGATCGAGCGGAAGGCGACGCTGGCGGAAGACGTGCTCCCGAGTGGGCACACGGTGCGCGCGGGGGACAACATCCTGATACCGGTGTACTCCATGGGCAGGATGGCGAGCGTGTGGGGGAAGGACAGCGGCGAGTACAGGCCGGAGCGGTGGGTGACGGAGGACGGCAAACTGCGGCACGTGCCGGCGCACAGGTTCATGCCGTTCAACGCCGGGCCGAGGCTGTGCCTCGGGAAGGACATCTCGGTGCTGCAGATGAAGAGCGTCGCCGCCGCCGTGGCCTGGAACTTCGACCTCGAGGTGGTGGCCGGCCACGCCGTGGAGCCCAAGGTGTCGATCGTGATGCAGATCAAGAACGGCCTCATGGTGAAGGTGAAGAAGCGGTAGATCGACCGTGTGCCAATTAACCCATCGGTGAAAACATATCGTACGTGTTTGTACACGGGCATGTACGGTTTTCACTATGCATGGCCTACGTATCTCTATCACCGTGTTGTAAAATGTAAACGGTCTGTTCGATTTCACCAGGCGAGACCCTCTCTGTACGCTAGTTCTCACGTGTGTTCCATAAAAACGTTAGAGTTGAAGGTCCATCCTGTTGTGTGACGTCAGCCAAGTTGTCAAAGCCTATTAATAGCCCATTAAGCTAGGAATGTCAGGCCCAATAAACAGTGTGATGTCGCTCAATATTCCATTACACTGCGGGCCTAATAGCAGATCAGGCTCTACTTCCAACAGCTTATAATCTGGAGGAAAAAGTTCACTATAGCTCCCTTCTCTAAAGCCTGAGTTTGATCGCATCCCTCAACCGTTAAACCGGGCACAACATCCCTTATCTCCTAAAATCAATGCAAACGATATACCACAACAGTTTGAACAATGATTTCAGGCCATCATGGTTGGCACTTACGTGACTGATTTGACCTGATCCTCACGTCCATATGGCATTGAAAAATCAAATCATTACACGTAGGGCCCACATATCAGTCAAACCAAAAGATTAAAAAAATAGTAGGCCCCACACTGTAGTGGGTCTCACTTCCTCCACCTCGCTCTATCTTATCTGCTCGACGGCGCCTACTTCCCTTTCTCTCTCCTAGCCTTTCATCCTCTCTCAAGCTTCCTTGCCTAGCGGCCATTGCTGATGCCGCCTTCACATAGTTGTCGCCACCGATGACCATGGAGGCCACGCGGTACATCCTTCCCTCACCTCTTCATCCACAACAATTGTTGTAGTGGAGGAAGAGAAAGGCGGGGACGTGGGGTGGCCATGGGCAACGACGAGGATTTCGAGGAGGGAGAAGAAAAGACAAAGGTGTGCCATCACCATTGAGTTTCAGCTTTCATGCTGTAGGCTTCTAAACCCCTCGACCGTTGCTGGTCACCACCACAGCGTGTGCCCCCCAAGGGAGAGGGTTGGGGGGGGAGGGATGGTTGGGCCATAGGGAAATGGTTACGATGCTCGAGCTCGAAGCTTGTCGTCGGAGGGATGAGGAGTCGTCGTCCACATCAGGGGAGGGAGAAAGGGAAGAGAGCATCATTGCCCGAAGGAGATAGAGAGGATGAGGTGGAGGAAGTGGGTAACATGTGGGTCCTACCACATGATATTCAAACTTGAGCCTTAGATGATGAATATAAAGTGCACTTTTTCCTAACCTAGATTGACTTAAAGCCCACTAATGATCTATTATACCTTTGTCCTGCGTTAACCAAAGAGCAAGATATCTGACGGAGGACTCCTTCACATAAATAAACAGAAAGAATGATAGGGCAAATCATTTTTTTCTTTTTAGGGAAAAGAGAACTCTGTTTTGATTAAGTAACATGATTACACTCTTGGTGCAAAATCTGCTTAACACAAGGTGGTGCTTGATCACGTCAAACCGCTCAATGAGTTGTTCGTTTAGCAAATTGAGCAAGTTCATGATCTACACTATTACACTCACTTCTACTAAACTGCGTACGCACTGCCTGCATATATATTTTTAATTGGGATCAAATTCAAGTCAATTCAATGAAATTTTACCAACCCCGCAAAAAAAAAAAAAGAAATTTTACCAAACTTGGGTCAGCCTGATCATGCCACAATTCAGTCCGCCCCATGGTTATGCATGCTCAAACAAAATTTGATGACCTATTACCTATGGTAAAAAAAAATATACGTAGTTCAGAACTATCGTCAAAACTAGGTTACATTATTAATAAACTAGATAGTTGTTAACCCGCGTTTTGAGTTTTGACGATCGAGGGCCCCGGAATATCCAGTTTTACAATTAAGGATTCATTCCTATTCTGAACAATTAGTGGGTGTTAAAACATCCATTATGACTTCATCAGCCTTCAGCCTTCAAATTTAGCCAGTTAATTATGACATCACAACCCATCTAAACACATAATAGCGCGAAACTCGTCTCTGCAGGCAGGGAGGAGGACGAGGTGGTTATTGGTTAGCGAGGAAGTAAATCACAGAGGACGCGCGCGGATTTGCCGTTACCACCTTCTGCCTGCCTGCGCCGGATTCGCCTTCCTCCCGATTCCAATTTTCCAATCCTCCTCCTCACCTCTCCTCCTCTTCCCTCCCCCACCAATTCTGCCGCGAATCCTCCCCCCTCCTCCCGATCTCGAAAAAATCTCGTCGCGTTGGCCTGGCCCCCACGCGCACCACCCCCTGCTCATTCGATCCGGAAAATTCCCCCCCGGGGGCCCCTCTCGGCTTTGCGGCGAATTCGGTTGGTTTCCTCACTCCCACAGCTTTGTTTCTTTTTTCCGGCGGATTTTCACTGGCCCCATCGGTAGATTAGATTCGATTTTTGTTTTCCCGTTGAAGTGTCTGGATTATGGCTTGATTTCGTGCGGATTTGGTTCTGTTTTGGTGTTTTATCAGCTGGGTGTTTGGAGATTCTCGGGCTCGTCGATTGCATGACGGATTGAATTGAGTCAGCGGGGGGGGGGGGGGGGGGGATCGAAGTTGGGGGACGAGGAGTTTGATGCCACCCGGCGATGGATCGCCGCAGCTTCAGGAGTGTGTCTTGTAACGGCAGCGGTAAGAATCTGGCCTCTCCCTCGCCGGCGGCGGGATCCCGAGCACCCGCGGCCGCGCCAGCCGGCTCGAAGGGGGACGCTGTGGTCTCCGTCGAGCGCCGGGCGCTGCTTTCGGCGCATCCCGCGGGCGGCACGGCGCGGAAGGGCATGAGGGGATCGAAACGGCGCGTGCAGTGGAAGGATAGGCATGGAAAGAAGCTCATCGAGGTCAGGGAATTCCAGCCTAGGTAAATAAGCTGCCTCAATTAAATTTGTTTTGTGCATCCTTTCGTTGTGCTTTGAGAAATTTTTTCATTCTGTTGTCTGGATGAAATATTGAAATGTGACCACATGTTAACGAGACATCGAAAGAGAGATCCCAAAGCACCAATTTATTTGCACTGACAAATTATCCCCTTATATGATTGCATAGTATCAGTAGCTAGCGATACATTCTGGTGAATGTTTTCCTGTTTGGCTAGACAAATTAGCTGCACAGGGTTGTTCAGATAGGTAAATGACATGTGAGGATGTCGTCTAGGGCTAGCCAAGCCGGAAAGTGGACAAATGTTAGTTTCGGTTATTTTTCTGTATTTTGCTAGAAGAGGTTAAGCTATCAATTCACTACTCAGCAAAAGTAGGTGTTCGGCAAGATACATGACATTAGAACATGGGATCTGTTAGGAACATCTCAAACTCTAGTATGCCACCCAGCAAGATGAGCTGAATTGTTTGGCTGTAGCTTTCGATCATCTAATTTGAGTTAGTGGCATAAATCTTCGAGGCATTTGCAAATTTGCCACCGGTTTTTTCAATATTGCAAGAATGCCACTCAAATGACAGTTCTAGTGGCATTTTTGCAATTTTCTAGTGGCAGTTTTGCAATAACGATTCAAAGTAGTGGTAAATTTGCAATCGCCCCTAAATCTTTAAGTCCTTTTCCTGGTCTTTTCTGAAGTAACCTGTAGCTAGAAATTAGCTTAAGCTTATTGTGACCAGTTTACTAGCATTTTATAATTGTAGGCGTGGTCTTCAAATTATTTAAGTAAAAAGGAGCCAAGTACATTATCATAGAGATGATATCTATTCACCATTGTACATTGATGAAAACCTTTATATGAAATGATTGCATAGGACCTCTTAGAGGACTGACCTATGATTGGCATTTACGCCTTAATGTTCTTATTTCAATGTCAACTGTCAAGGATAGTCGATGGTGGCATATCCAGAATTCCAGATGAAATTATATACTGAAATAAGCATGTAAGGAGGGAACAACGCAAATGAATTAATAGTTGGAATATGCTGCATTTTCTAGTGCTGGACTGGCATTATTAACTACAGGCCTCTTTACCTGTTAAGGAAAAGTCTGCACTGTTTAGTTTGGACATAAAAGGGTTATTTGTTGATGTTGTATGTGAACTTTAGTTTAGAAATCTTTGCCCATCGGTGTGATGAAAAAAAGCAGTAGCTTTTCTAATCAAATGGTGGTGGTATATCTTTTGCGATTTCTGGATTTATTGCCAGGCTATGATCATTTGAGTTTAGTTATTCTAGATGGTTATTAAATTTTACTTATTTAGTTTAACTGAACATTAGTGGCGCATGTGAAGCTGCACATGTTAATTAACAATACATGATTGACAATCTGATACCCCCCAAAACCATTATTAAATGTAGCTCAAAAGAAGTGGTACTTAAAGCAAGTAATGCAGGTTGACATGTTACATATGTACAGTCAACTGGGCAGCTGGACATGTTGATTTAGTCACATGTACATACAATAACAAAACATTGATCAAGTGACATAATTATTGCGCTATCTGGAATTGCACAACCTGGCCTACAACTGAAGATGTACTCTGCTACTCAAAGGGGTTTTTAAATGTTTAGTGTTTCTGTCTGTGTTTTTCTTTCTAGTGGATGTATGACATAATAGATTAGTCTCTTCTGGGCTTCCAGCTCCATCCCAATCTGATTAACAGCCAACCAGAACTATGATATGATCACATCTCCAGCCTGAAGGTGGTTTAGTGGTACAAGATAGCAGGAAAATTTTGATTGTATGGTCGAACTTTAAGGAGATTGACTGCGCTGATAAACAGTACTGTCAGAAATTTATAATCCTCGCGCTACTATGTGGATGACAGAGGAAAATTTCCTACATGGGACAACATTCCCATTCCTAGACTTTGTGTATTCTCTAACATGTGTAATCCGTGGCATCAGCCCAGTTGGGACTTGAGGCCCCATTTGTAATGTAGGAGGTTCATAGATTTTTTGCAGAAATTTGATAGGAATCAGGAAACATTCACGTGCTCCAAAGGAGTGACCACATAAATTGTCAATTATTTAACTTCTTTTTACATGGGAATGTCGATTATTAAGTAACTTTGCAATTCCGGGGTTACAGTCTTGTTAATTGTACGAGCTAATTGAACCTTTGTTAATCTGAGATAAAGCCTACCATGTGCAGCTCATGTGCTGTTGGCTGCCTGTGGGGTTGATCCTGCTTGGTTCCAATTCCAGGGCCATCTAGTCTTAGTCCATGAAAAAGTTGGGAGCTAAATTAGATATCCCACCAAAATGTAAACTAAAGAATTACAGACAATTTGGCAGTATGAAGTTATGCTTATGAGCACATTTACTGTGCATAGTCACAGCTTTGCTTTTAGGAGAACCTTAGTAGTTATTTTTCCTCAAAAAATCTTTAGTAATTGATCAGTATTACATATGTGGGATTCAATCGAATAGGTTGTAGGAGGCTTCATCACAGTTGCTTGGGCAATGACAAGGGGAGCATCTCAAGTCCACTTTATATGAAGTTGGTTTAAACTAGGGAGTATTTTTGGTGGTACACTTATGTTGTTCAAGATGTTTGCTTTACCTGTTTATAGGCTTCCATGCTCGGTAACTTATCGTTCTTGTTTATTCTAAAAAAATATTTCTAAATGATGAGGACCTTTATTGGCAGAGCCATAATTTTATTGGGGGTTAGCTGACTGAGTTTTGCGCATAGAATTACAAAAGACCATCCTTGTATGCTTGTGCAAAAACTATTAGTTGACTCAAGCTGATTTTCTGCCTGGTGGCATCATTTCAATTGGAGTCAAAACACACAGATAAATGACTATGCCTAGTATCATATTTTCTTTCTGGGTGTTTGTATGGGGTTGGATGGTATAGACTTGGACGTTAGTTTTGTCTCTGTAAATGATATGCATTTTGAAATAGCGCCCTGCCTTTAATTACTCCATTTGAAGTATCAGAATTGTGCCGATCTTTGACTATATTTCAAAATCGATTTGAGAATTCAAGTTTATCTTTGCTGCAGTGCATCTATTTTTCCCTCTAACTATGGATCCTCGTTTTAATATTTTGCAGCGATACGGATGACTCTGATGATGAATACTTGGACACTTGCATATGTTCAATAATGTAAATACCGTGAAGCTTAATCTCCGGCACATCTTGCACCATGTGGAGTCTGTTGCTCTATGCATGTGTAGCAAGAGCTGTAGTGTGTCAATTTTGCTGGCTTCTGCGTACCCCTAACAGTGATGTATACATAAGCTCACTCCAGCAGACTCAAGCCATCTCTGTTCAGGAGGTACTGCAAATGTAGCTAACCTTGCAATGGAGGAAGAACTGGTGATAAACAAATGGCCTTGACGTGGAGTTTTTGGTCAGAGCCCTAAGAAAGCTACTATACCACTGGGTACAGGCGTACAGCATGTAGAAAGGAGAAGGGAAAGATACCGAAAGGTTTAATTTTTGACCCATTTTGCCGAGTATGGTCAGCAATGTGCTTGTAGAAATTATACACAGTAGCATTTATTATTTCAACTGCCAGAATTCAGACCGATTTTGTCAATAGTAATTGATATGGCAATACGATGGGTTACCATCAGCTACTAACATCCAATGGTTTTCTTCTGATTCTTAGTTTCATCTTCATGCAACTCTCATCAACTATTAAGACAGGGATTCAGTAGACGCAGTCACAGGTAAGTTCAATCTTCTGGGCAGAGAGCCCACATAGTCCATAGAGGGCGTCGCGGCCCATTTCAGCCCAGCGCGAAGTTGTCACTGCAGCCCTCGGATTCCATGCCCCTCTTGGCGGGTGGACCCCGCAAAAGGCGCTCGTCACGGTAGCCATCGGTTCCATCCATCCAACGGTCACATGCCAGCTGGGTCAACCTGACCGTTACCGCGCGCCGCTTGCCTTTTTCCCCAACGGCTTCCTCTTTCGCCTCCGTTTGCTTGCGTTGCGCCCCAAATTCCGCCTCCTCTTCTTCACTAGCTCTTCCACCCTCTCCAATCCCCTCTCCCTTTCTCTCCCTCTCCCTCTTGCCTTCGCCATGGGCTGCTTCCTTGGCTGCTTCGGGGGGGCCAAGGAGCGCCGCCGCCGCCGGAAACGCTCCCCTGCGCACTCCCCCTCCGGCCGCGCCCGGGTACGTGGCGTCAATCCCTTTCCTCTCTCTGCTCTGTTCCGCCATATCCGTCTGTTCGTTTCGGAGTTCTCCTCTAAATTGTGGTTTTGGAATTTGAATTTGAACAGGCCACGCCGCGGCTTTCCCCGAAGAAGGCTGCCGCTGCCGCCGCGTTGGATGGAGACGTTGTTTCCGCCGCCGCGCCGCTGCTGGCGACGCTCCTGGAGTTGAGGTGTGTGTTCGTGTGTGGGCATTGTGGCTGATCTGATCAGCGGGATGGCTTGATTTGGTGCGGGAATTCGCTTGATCTGGTGTGCTGATTTGTGGGGGTGTTGATGTGTGTGTATCTGTTTAGGGATTCCACTGATGACTTGTGCTTGACCGTCATCAAGAAGAAGGTGACGTTTGATCCCAACGTCACCACTTACGAGGCGGCTGCGATCCCGGAGGCGGAGGAGGAGGATGATGAGGAGGCCGAGCCGGCGGCGGGTGACGACAAGGATGAGGCGAGGTGGATGCTGGCACCGGATTGCGCGAAATCCGAGGCTTTCCCGCTGAACCACAGGTACAGCAACTGCGCCTACGGCGACAATGACAGCGAGTACGACGAGGACGAGGACGAGGACGAGGAGGAAGACGAGGACGAAGAGGAAGAGGCGGATGGGCTCGACGAGTGCGCGATCGACGACGAGGACGACGACGGCCTTCTCGGCATCGGGCGCGGCGAGGACGAGGCGTGCGAGTCGCTCTTCCTGCTTCCAATGAGCAAGACTAAGGAGAGCGGCGGCGGCCATGAAGCGGCTTCCGGCGTCACCTCGCCGGAGGCGCCGCCCGCGCCTCAACAGACGCGCGACGCGAATCCGGTGCTCAGCTCGGTGGAGAATCTCACCCAGTGGAAGGACGCCAAGGCCCGCGCCGCCACCGCCACCGCCGCGCCGAATGCTTCGGACAAGGAGAACAGAACGACGGCGAACTTGCTCCCCGAGCCGGCGATCCCAGCCAAGAAGAGAGAGTGGCAGGTGGTCTGCTCCGACTACAGCCCCAGCACGCCAAGCAAGCAAGAAGTCTCGGTGGACGCGAGCCTCTCGACATGGCTGGGCTCTTCGGGGACGCCGGAGAGCAACTCCGTCCGGTCCTTCTCGCCGATCAGCCGAGAAGACCGGCCGATCCTTGGGGCCCTGACCGTGGAGGACATCAAGATATCCTCTGCCAACTCGTCTCCGAGGAGGTCGAGGTCTCCGAGCCCGAGCCCTGACGACATGCCCATCCTGGGAACCGTGGGGGCTTACTGGAATTGCAGCTCCAAGGCTGGTGATCCGGTGACAAGAGGAGGGTTTATGAGGACTAGAACAAGGTTTGGGCAGGTAAGCTTAGTGTCACTGTCACACCTAGTTTCGATGTTGATTCTGAATTTGTCATGTACTGGAGCTTCAGTTTTACATTTTGAGCTGATGATGAATATCTTGTAGAACTTTGCAGGATGAAGTGGTGAATTGCTACTGAAAGCTTCCAAGCTGGAAGCTGGAAGAGTTTGGTTTCAGGAGGAAAATTGCAGAAGATGCATACATGCTTTTGTGAGAAGAACATACATATAGAGTCAGTGAGATTGTGGAAGTAGTGGCATGCTTTATTCAAAGATGTTGCTTGTCAAATTCTTTTATTTGTTGTAAACAATGTCCATCCATATTCTATTATGGTGATCTTTTTTTTTTTGGCGCTGTCGATATGGTGTATTGTTTCGATGTTACATTGTCAATATGGTGTATTGCACTTATGCCTTTCTACCTCCTTTCTACCTCTCTGGTTTGACTTGTTTCTTCCTTTTTTGTTCATAACTTCATATGTTGAACACAATTTAACAAGTGTTTAGTATCATGGGCAGCTGATCCTTGTGCTAAGTATCCTATACACACTAGTCATGTTATCCTGTATGAGTATCTTCATGTTGCAACAGAAGAGAAACGAGAGTTACACTTGCTTGGATAGCAGAGTTCTGAAGTTTTGTAATGGAAGCTAAATCAGATTTTTCAGATGTTTTAAATTTATTTGCTTCCAACATGAGTTCACGCACCCCACGTAATTTGAATTTGCAAATCGAAGTGTGCAACAAAGCCTAGCACTCGATCGTCACCGCCTCTTGGGAAGCTGAAACGCGCGCTTCAAGTAGTGGCTCGCCACCTCGTCGTCACGGTGGCAGAGCACGCGGAGGATCGTGTCCGGGTCCGTGCGGCTCCACCGCCATGTCGTCTCCGGCAACGGCATCCTCTGGCCGGCGGAGCTCGCCGTGCCGTTCAACTCGCACGCGATGCTCAGCTCCTCCACGAGCTGCTCCGCCGTTTGCCCCATGAGCGCCACGACGCTCTCTGCCGCCTCCGCCTCGCCGTCGACCACCTCCTCGGTCACCACTCCCTCGCCGCGCGTGCAGAAGGCGCGCTTCAGGCTCCGGAAGTCCTCCTCCACCATGCCGTGGTCCTCCTTCGTGAAGCTCCTGTCGCCGCCGCCGGCGACGAGGACGAGCAAGAACGCCTGGAACGAGGCCTTCATCACCTCCCGCACCGCCACCGGCTGCGCGCGGTCGACGAGGACGGAGAGGAGCAGCGACAGGTTCTGCTTCAGCGTGCGGAGCGCCGGGCGGATGCGGGCGTCGGCGACGCCGCCCACGTAGAGCCCGTCGTAGAACGAGTGGTGCGAGTCGAGGAAGATGAGGCGGTACGCGGCGACCTCGGCGACGTGCCCGACCGCGGACTGCGCCGCGGCGCGCGCGCGGTCGAAGTGGGAGCACGGCGCGAGGAGGCGGGCGGTGGCGGCGGACGACGGCGACGACGAGCACCTGCCGCGGGAGAAGAAGGAGAGCGACTTGTCGAGCGCGTGGACGTGGCTGAGGATGAAGTGGAGCGTGTTGAGGCGGACGTAGAGGCGCTGCGTGCCGCGGCTGGTCGACGGCCGCGGGTTCTGGCCGCCGGACGCCATGCCGCCCTGGCCTTGGTGGTGCCCGTGGGCGCGCGGGCTCGACACGGGCGCCCGGCACGGCGTCGCCGCCTTCTTCCACAGCCTGATGATCTTCGAGTCCTGGTTGCACCTCGTCAGCGGCGGCAGCGACGGGAGGTAGCTCTGCTTGCTACCTGCTCGATCGACGCACCAAAATCAAGATAAATTTCGGATTCGTGCGAGGAATGTTGTTGTAATTTGTAACATCGACTACGAACCGCAAGACGTGAGGAAGGAGATGTACTCCAAAAAGATCGCCTCCATGCCGTCGGCGAGGTCCTGGACCAAGTCATCCCTCACGGCCACCGGTATGCCAAAGAACTCGTCGACGGTCGCCTTAGCCAGCTTCATCAGCTCCACCGCCGACTGCGCGTAAGGCTCGTTCTTGGATCTCGGCATCCAGCTCTACACAAAATATGCAATTCTTGAGACTGCACCGTGCAGAACACGTGTTCGACGAAAAGAAACACGCAACAAAAAACCTCGGTTTCTTTGGCTCGGAGCATGCACTCCCTGCAAATCTTGAGCCTCTCCTCGACCCACGTCCTGAGGAACCCGAACACGATGGACTCCACGTCGTACGGCACCACCTCCCTCACCACCGACTTGCCGCCGTCGTCGCTGTCCGCCACGTCCTCCACCACCATCTGCACCAGCGCCTTCTCCAGCCTCCCCGCCGCGTGCAGCACGTGCACGAGCTCGTTGCTCAGCACGGTGGCCTTGCCCAGGTACTGCTTCAGCACGACGCCGAAGCAGCCGTGCAGCGTCACCGCGGCGATGGCGCCCGGGAACGGGTGCCACCGCCTCAGCACCGGCCCGAAGGCGTCGCGCTCGGATAGCGCGATGTGCTCCGTGTCGCCGGCGAGCCGCGCCAGGATGTCGCCCGGGTCTTCGTCGTCGTGGCGATCGATGATCAGGCTGTCCCCTTGCCCGAGTCCGTTCTCCAGTATCTGGCACACGTTTCCGCGGCAGATCAACACAAGACGCTCGCCATGGCGTGGCCAAACGCGTAGGAAGCTAACCTTCGTGAAGGCGCTTCTCGTGGAACACCTCACGTAGTAATCCACACGGTCGCCGGCGAAGCTTCCGACGCTGCAGTCTTCGTGTTCGGTTTCCGCGGTGCTGATGCTCGTGAAGATCGCGTTGTCGGAGATGATCTGGGTGGTGGCGAGCGCCAGTGACAGAGCGCCCTCCATGGCCATGGCGCCGCCGGCGCCGCAGTTGCCGTTGCCGAACCACTCGTGGTAGCCAAGCATCCTCTTCTCCGACCAGTCGTGTATCGTGGCAAGGATGCTCGAGAGCACCCGTGCGTACACGGGGTCGCGGCTCTCCTGCTTGGCGTCGGCCGCCACCTCCGTGAGCATGGCGAGCGCCGCGCCGGCGAGGTCCGGCTCGATCTGCCCGGTGACCACGTACTGCTGGAAGAGGACCCATGCAAAGCACACGTTGTGCAGCATCTTGGTGATGCCCAGCGTTGGCCATGTCCTCCTCATGAGCTCCAGGAGCTCATCGACTTCGTCGAGCACGACGGTCTCCTCCTTGAGGTCAAAGATGGCCTGGAGGAGCGACACGTAGAGGAGCACGTTGAGAGGGTAGCCGTCGGCCCAGTGGCAGGCGTCGCCGCCGGCGGCCTTGCTTCCGGGGGCGGAGCGCCAGGCAAGGGCGTGCACGGCGTTGCAGAGGGCTTGCATGGCGTCCGACGTCTTGCCGGTGTCGATGGCGCGGGTGTCCGCCGCCTGCATGACCTCGCGGAACCTGAGCACCACCGCGTTGAGGCGGTCATGCGGCAGGGACGGGTGCGCGATGAGCCCGGCCTCGAGGAGCTTCAGCTGCCGGCGCTGCCACTGGTGGTGCTCGCCGCTGTCGGCGAAGTCGGTGAGCTTGACCTGCCGGAGCAGTTCCAGGGGCAAGACGATCGTCTCGGCTTTTCTTCCCACCTGCACAAAGTGGATCACCAAATCGAACAACGTGGAGTGCGTATCAATGGCGGCGACGCGTCACGACGCAATGCAATGCAATGCGGGCACGGACCTGGCCGATGAGGGTGCGCATGAGCGTCTTGCGGAGGCGGGCGTCGTTCTGCTCCGTGACACGCATCTGCTGCCGCATGATCTCGGCGGAGGTCATCGGCCGCCTCCCTTTCCCGGGCGACACGGGCGTCGACGGCTGGCTCATCGCCCACATGGCGCGGCCGGGGGAGCCGGGCGCCGACGACGCGTTCATGGAGCTCACCCGCGCCGTGGTCGGCTGCGACGACCTCCGCGCCTTGAGCCCCAGCGCCCTCTTGACCCTGCTGTTGACGACGCTCATCCCCGTGCCACCCCGGGGGCCGGCGCCGATGGTCGGCGACACGTCGCCGCCGCCGCTCTCCCCGGCCGGGAAGTAGTTGAGCCGGCCGCCACCGGCGGCGCGGCAGGACATGAAGAAGACCTCGTAGGCGGCCTCCCGGAGGTCGGAGCGGGTGAGGCCATTGACGTGGCCGAAGGGGCAGTCGACGGTGGCGTCCGCGGCGAGGCTGCGGGCGTCGGCGTCGGTGGCGGCGGTGTCGGAGGAGCGCGCGAAGGAGGAGGAGGAGGCGGAGCGGGAGCGGTGGTGGTGCTGGAGGCGCCCCATCTCTCCGTTCCGGCCGATCGAGCGAGCGGCTCTTTCGGCCCGAGGGAGAGGTGGGGTGGTGGGCGCCACAAACGATCCCGGGGGGTGGTGGGGCCCGGCTGTCTCGCTGCCATATGGCCCCACCCGCTTCCCGCGCCGAAGTCGCGGGCGACCGCGACACGTCAGCGCGCGCAGGTTGTACTATGGGCTTCTTCGGCCCAACTCAATCCATACCCCCCGGCCGAAATGTCAGCTTCCAGCCTAATATGGCCCATCTAAACGATGTGGAAATATAGTCCAATTAAACTCCTTCATTGTCAGCTCCAGCCTAACGTGGGAATAAGCGAAACAGTGTATTTACAAACGAAAAATAATTTATGAATAAAAATTTTATATACGTGTTCTTAGCGACCTAAAAGCAAATGCTGAAAAATAAACTTAAAAAAACCCAAAATCTACTCTAAATTTAAAATTGAAAATTCAAATTTTGGCCGAGAAACATAAGTATAAGCGAAAATAAGCGAAAATATGAGGTCAGGGGTGCGTGTCGACGAAGGGGACTGGACTTAGATTAAAAAAAGGTTAGACTTTAGATGGCCATAAAACGAAACACACCCTAAGATATGGGAGATAAGAAGAGCTCGATATGAATCAATCCAATCCTAATTTCTCTCCAACTTGTTTTCTTTATCTTTAATGTCTCTCCAACTATACTCTAACAAAATCATAACGTGCGTAACAACATCACAATCTCTCTAAATAAAAAGTTCCACTGAAAGAGAAGTGATGATGCCTGAAAGTTCCGTATCAGCATGCTTTTGTAATTTGCATGTTACCGACATGCCAGTTTTCCATCGAAAGGAACTGGGATAAATCTATCAGTGAAGCCAAAAATAATGCTTGCCGCAAAAACAAAATCAGGGGGTCAAAGATAATGATTCTTCATTGGCCCAGTGCGCTCATCCACTATACCAAGTTACAACCATATCCAATAATTTGCGAATGGTCCCGTAGGAACTCACTAAAACATGAACCATACCTTGTAGAAATGGACAAGATCTTAGGTTTTCCAAGTCAATCAACTTGGCGACATTCGACGGCATCGTCGATGATAAGTAGGCTGTGTTTAGATCCAAACTTTCAACTTTTTCCATCACATCAACATGTCATACACACAACTTTTCAGTCACATCGTACCAATTTCAACCCAAACTTTCAACTTTGGAAGGAATAAACACAACCGTAGTCATCTTTTGACTAGTGGATAAGGAGGTTTCGGAGAAGTACAATGGATTCTTCTGCTCATTTGAAAATCGTGTGCTCGTTTGATCACATTACATGGGATGATGGGAATGGGCTTATTCAGACTTCAGTTCAGTGACAGTCGTTGAATCTTGAGGAATGCTCCCAGCGAGAGCCTGTCTCGTCACTTCACTTCAGGCCAATTCGCCAATGGAAAATTTGTAATGCAATATCATACTTTTCAGACTTCTTCTTTTGACCATTTAAATGATGATTGGTTCACTTGTTTAGTTGTTTCTCAGTTTCCCACTTGAGCTTTCGGGGTGTTTCTTAGCTACATGCATTGTTGCTAGAAGATGACAGCGGTATCGTTTGCAGAATTTTTCTCTGAACAACCATTGCAAAGTTATCTATTGAAGGAATCTTTCATTTTTCATGTGCGGCATCTTAGAATTCCTAAAATTATACCATTTATCCTCTTGAATGTGCTCCAAATTCTTGCTTTCAAACGCCAGGCCAATGTTGTCAAGATATTTTAAACCCGTTTGTTTATGATGTTTAGCTGAGTTAATTGGTTACACGCAAAACGATGTGGACTATTAAGCATGATTAATTATGTTTTAATATTGGAGAGTTGGAAAATGAGCTCATTTTATTTGATAAAGGCACTTCTATATAACACGTTATCTCGAAAAAATATTTAACAATTTAAAAAATATGGTCGCAAATATCTAGAAGAGTACCTAGCCCGAACCTGGCAAAAGAACGGTGCCCAAATAGGTACTCCGTAGTGCGAGCTCCCTTCTTTTGGGGCAGCACGTTTTCTTTTAGACGCCTATTGCGGCACTTCGCATCTCTGCATGCACATTGGATAAAGATGCCATCCTGTAGTGCCAGTTACAGTCATGATCTTGTTGATGTGTTCTTACTGAGATATCAACCAATTTCCAGTCAGTAAGTCTATGCAAACAACTTGACAAGTAGCTAATACTATTTGCAAACCTTGTAGAGTTGTATTTATCCTCACTGAGCGTTTTACTGAGTAAAATTAGTACTCTTAACTAAGATAAGATTGGTCATTATCCGCTCCAGTCCACTGATGACTGATCGATGCGTCGAGCTGTTGTCTACGATTCCCGTTCTGAAGAAAATTCTGCCAGTCAAACATGTCACTGAGCTAAGGAGGTCAATATCACGAAATTTATGCGCCACAAAGATCAGCTATCCGTGGACCATCAGGCCATGTGGCCATCATGTCCACTAATCCCATCCAACTATTCAAAAATCCATGAAGCAAATCTCCAACATATACGTACTATCATGTTATAAATATATTTGATACCGATTTACACCTTTTCCCCAAGAAATGATACTGACTGGAGATATATTTTTCTCCTTTCTAGAAAGGTTAACAAATTTCATGCAGATGAAGAATATTACTACCTTTCCCCTTTCAAGATTAATATTCTTGGGTATATTTTTTCATCAGGATGACTGCATGACAGAATTAACCTGAAAAGTTTATAGTCCGGACCAATCTAACTGTACTGCATGCGAGTTGCATTGTTCATAGTTGAGCTGATTTTTTTTTTACAGAGTATAATCAGTTCTGAATCTTTTTGGCTGTGTCACCCTTCACGTCCACGGCGATGTCGATCGTCTCCGTCGACTCGACCTTGTACCTGTACCTGCTGCTGAGCGCGACGAAGACGACGGCGTTGATGGCGCCGAGGACAGTGAGGAAGCCGTAGTAGTAGTCGAGGTGCGAGGCGTTGAGGTTGTTGGTGACCCAGGCGTCGCCCCGCTCCCGCGTGACGCGCGACACGAGCGAGAGGAGGAAGCTGCTGAGCACGTTGCCGACGCCGTACGCCGTCAGCGACATGGCCGTGCCGAGGCTCTTCATGCTCTCCGGCGCCTGGTCGTAGAAGAACTCGATCTTGCCCACCACCAGGAACGCGTCCGCCACCCCCATCAGCACGTACTGCGGCAGCAGCTCGAAGATGGTGAGCGGCACGGGAACCTCCGCGGCGGCGGCGTCCAGCCCGTGCCGCCGCGCGTACCCCAGCCGCCGGCTCTCCATCAGCGACGCCGTCGCCATCGCCACCACCTGCAGCAGCAGCCCGACGCCCATCCGCTTCAGCAGCGTGATGCCCCTCGGGTTCTTGGTGTACTTCCGGATGGCCGGGACGAACAGCCGGTCGTACACCACGACGGCGACGAGCATGCTCAGGGTGACGAACGCGCCGAGGCTGGCCGGAGGGATCTGGAAGTGGCGCCCGATGTGGCGGTCCATCGTCCTGCCCTGCTTCACGAATAGGGTGTTCGTCTGCGCGATGAGCGTGCACGGCACGAACATGGTCGCCAGCAGAGGGATCACCTTGACGATCTGCTTCGTCTCCTCCACCTGGGTCACCGTGCACAGGCTCCACCTCGCCGCCGGCGAGCCGTCCTCCTTCACGGCGGCCTTGTTTAGGAACCTCATGGCGTTGGTGGAGTCCATCCTGAACTTGCGCTTCCTCGTGTACTCCTCGAGCTCCAGCTCGTGCAGCTCCTTGGCGTCCGCCGGCACGGCCACGCGCCACTTCCAGACGGCGGCGGCGACGACCTTGCCCATGCGGGTGAACGGGCTGCCCTGCGGCACCTTGTGGCGGTACAGCGGCGTGCCGGCGAGGAAGATGGAGATGGAGACGAGGAGGCCCAGCGTGGGGATGCCATAGCCGACGGACCAGCTGACATTGTCCTGGAGGTAGACGAGGACGGTGGAGGAGAAGAGGATGCCGACGAAGATGGTGAACATCCACCAGTTGAAGAAGGACATCTTGTGCATCTTCTCCCGGGGGTCGAACTCGTCGAACTGGTCGGTGCCGATGGTCGAGATGTTGGGCTTGGTGCCGCCATTGCCGAACGCGATGATGTACAGGCCGCCGAAGTAGACGCCCAGCTGCAGGGCCGACGCCGGCGGGCACACGCCGCCGGCGCACGGCGGTGGCTTCAGCGACGGAATGGTCACGGCCAGCGTCAGCAAACACATCCCCTGCATCAGCGTTCAACTTATCATCTCCAGTAGCATGTGATTTTGCACAAATTGGTAGCCATACTACCATGCTTTACATCGTTAACTTTAATCATCCTTGTACATCTTCTCTTCTGCTTTGTAATTACTACTCCCTCCATTCCATAATATAGCAATCTAGTACCGGATGGGACATATCGTAGTGTCCAGATTCATTGTACTATAAGATCTGTCCAGATTCATTATACTATGAGATGTCTCATCCGGTACTAGATTGCTATATTACGGAACGGAGGGAGTAATTGCTAATATCGGTTGTACTCCCTATGTGTCAATGACGATTTGAGCAATATATTCAGATGGGAATCTCTCCTCTCCGTTATCTTGTTAAAAAAACTTTAATCATCCTTCTTATTAAAAAAACATAATTATTTTTTATTGTGTTGTGATTTATTTTATTATTAAATGTACTATAAGCATAGTCATAACAAAATAGGTGAAAATTACCAAAAAGATCCAAATATAACGAATAGTCACACACACGTCTAAAAGCTTATGGTGTCAAATTTTAAAAACCAGATAGAAGTAGCGCGATTTTGACATTACAGAAAGAAATGGTAGCGGAGGATACACGATAATCAGATCGTAATACACACGTCTTTATTTATACGTGACGTGCCATTTCACAATAGTATATATAATACTGAAGAAATTAACACCTTGATTGATACTTGTTAAATCTTGACTCATCCACATGTGTAGGCATTTTTCTAACAGTGAGTCCATCGGGGTGATACTATATTTATTACTACAAAATTTAGTATCTCTTGTTAACTCTATTAACCTCAATTATTAAATTTCGCACTATAAATATGATACCTATAGCTATCTCTCTTAACTAGTGTATGTGTATATATTGCTAGGGATGTGCTGGGCTTGGAGGCCATTCACACAAGGCACAATTGCCGATTCCCCATTTTCCATAATTTATTTCGATAGAAAAGTTGTATCTAATTTATCTATATTGAAAGTAGACCG